ATGTGTAGCGGTTGCTATTTTTTTCCACACCCACATTTTATTCGCCTGCGATTGGCTAATAAATCACTACTACCTTTATATAGGACAATTTAGCCATCGCAGTCGTTTCTTTGAATCTTCGGTTTTGAGCTTGCTTGCTTGTTCTGTTAGTATGAATGTAGTGATTAATTAATTTTTAACCTATCACATATTTTAGTGCAAGATTAAGTTTTCCTGTGTTGCCGTGGGAGCCTACCCTTTTTTCTTAAAAGGGGCAACTTTTCACAAGTCGTCAGTAAGATCCCGTAAGATTCCAGCCGTCAGTACAAATCCACGATCTTACTCGTCACATTTCAAACACACACACAGACACAGAATTTCATAATATAAATTTACATTTCTCTCTGTGAGTTTGCCAAGTTCAATCAACCAGAACTCTGTTGATTCAAACCATTCTATAACACAACACATTTTAATTAATTGCATTCTTGCGTTATTTATTCTTAACATGAATACTTGCTCTAATATTGATTTCTGAACATTTTTCTCTCAAAAGAACTTTCTTCAAACAATCAATTACAAATCATTCTACAGTTAAAGGGGGACAACTTCTTTCCCTTAATCTATACATTGAAAACAATTTTATTGCATGTTTGTTCTTGTATGTTATTTCAATATCTATTTGTTGATTAACAATTTGGAGTTATTGTTGTTTACATGAATCCTGCACATGGTGACTTTTATGATTAGTAACTCTGACATTCCCAAAAGAAATCTTTCAACCAACTCACCTTTACAACTGGTGACCACGTGGGTAGACTTTATACATGTAAGATGCAGTTTGTAAGTTTTTGTCAATACTAATGTAGAAGAGAACCTCATCTATGGTGTGTCTGATGCAAGTAAGAGTTTTGTTCTGAATAATTGGTTATGATGTCTCAACATACACAACATCATTGCTAAATTTGCATGACAACTGTTGTGCTAATTTGCACAAGAATGGTGCCAAGTTTTTCATCAACAAATCACAGCTGATCTGTGTCTTTGTTTACAGGTATATAAGACTGGCATTGTTGGATATTTGGGTTTGTTTGGTGCTAACAGTCAGGAGGAAACTGTTCAGGTTTGTGATAATCCAATTTTTTTATGAACAGTTGTATGCAAGTTAACTATGTCAAATATAATTTCTTGACTAACCTAATTGCAAATTATACACATATGCATATTCAAGAACTCGCCGAAAAAAACCACAGCATGTTGAAAAAAGGCTCCAAACTTAATAAAAACAAAGTTTTATCATCAAAATGCTTATGTTATCATTAAGATTAAAAACCAAAGTATTTTTCAATTATTTTTAAAAATTTTTATTCTTTCTTGCATATTCAAAATTTTGGTTAAAAATCTTGTTTTTTTTTCGTTAACGTTTATGTAACATTAGTTTTTTCAGTTGAAAAACACATTAATTTGGAAATTCTTGTAAATCTTGATCCTGTAGAATTATATTTCTACATTCTCTGTTTTAAACCTGTTAAAAGAGGATCACAGCTAAGTATTCTCAATTTGTGCTGAACCCATTAAAATTGGCTCCAGAGTTCAGTACGAAACAATGCTTTCTGATTGGTCCATAAATAATAATGTCATGTTTCTGCCTATGTCTGCATGGTTGACCTTGAGTTGACCTGTTCATAGTACAACATGCCAAAAAATTGGTAAACATTCTCTTGAGCCTCCCACATGATCAAGAAAACACAAATATGAAACGTAACTTAGTCATTGAGTCCTTAAAATAATCAACTCGTCACACAAATCCATGAAACCCAAGTTAATTTTTATCTTAATATCAACCTGGCTTGTGGAATTCAATTTCTTTTAAACATCAACTCAACTAGTGATGAATTTAACTAAGACTAGATTCAGAAACCAACTCACTGAATATCTTAACAACATAAAGGAAATTGTAACTATATCAGTCGAAGCAAGACAACTCTATAGTAAGTCAAGCAATCTTTCATTCAATTTCATCATCAACATAAACTGTTTCATTCCTTACCAGATCTATTGCATAACACCTTTTAAATTACCCTTGATCACACAACCAAGACCTCTAAAGTGTTTTAAACAATTTTATTATATCATGTGTACTTGTTATATAAAAATATTTTCTGTTAAAACAAATACCTGCCTATTTGATTATTTCTCTTGTTGTTGTTGTCTTTCTTGCATTTGATTTTAGTAAAAATGGTAGAGGGTCAATTTAATTTGTACTTGTCACTGATACAGATTGGCTAACTCACTACAATTCCCACAAAGCATGTGAACCTGATGACATCCCTGTAATAATCAGTAAGAAGTGTGCTCCCAAACTAGTTTTTGTTCTCTCTAAACTGTATAATAAATGCCTAGCTACCTTCTGCTTACCTGCTTGCTGGAAGTCATCATCTGTTGTTCCAGTTTTGGTGAACCATCTGACCCCATCCAATTATCAGCCTATTAGTCTTTTGCCTCCTTTTGGAAAAATCATAGAGGCTCTAATCAATGCTGAATTGGTTCATCATCTCTCAGACAATATGGCTTTCGTTTTTCCAGATCAACTTCTGATGTACTAACAATAATTATGGAAAGAGTCTATTATGCTCTAGATAAAAATAGTGAAACCCAGTAGTAACATTGGACATCTCGAAAGACTTTGACATGGTCTGGCATTCAAATCTTCTCCACAAGCTGAAAAGCTACGATATTTCGGGGCATGTTTTTGAACTTATCCAGTTATTCCTATCAAATTGTGAAATGAAAGTTATCCTGAATGGACACTTGTCTACATCCTTTTGTGGTAACACACGAGTTCCCCAGGGCTCCATCCTTGGTCCTACACTGTTTTTAAATTTCATTAATAACCTTCCCGATGACATCAACTCTCAACTTGGCATCTACATTGATGACACAACCATTTACTCCAGCCTCCATATATTCAGGCTGATGTACAAAACAAGCTCAAGTCTATCATTAACTGGGGCAAAAGATGGCTTGTCAATTTTAACACCACTAAAACTAAACTTCTCTTCATTAATCAACTGAGAGACCCTTCGCTACCTTCCATCAGCATGACTGATGCTATCCTCCAAGAAAGTGACTCATTGCAACTTCTCAGGCTAACATTCTCAGTTGACATGATGTGGAAAGACTACATTGAATCCATTGCTAGATCATCTGCTAATAAAGTCAGTTCACTGTGTCGGGTGAGACAATTTTTGCATATCTATAAATTTACCATTTGTCCATGCTTAGAATATTGCTGCCATCTATGGTCCGTGCTCTTGTTATTTTCCTGGATCTCATTGATAAGATCCAAAGAAGAATCAGCAATATTATTTGTCCCTGGCTCAGTTACAGTTACTTGCCCACCACTGTAAGGTTGCCTCTCTGTGTCTTTTTTTTATAAATACTTTCATAATAATTGTTCAGATGAGCTCTTTGTTATGATAGCTAGACTGTATGAATTTAAGTGCAATACTAGACTGGCAGCTAGTTACAGTTGAGCTAGTTAGATATAACTGGAACTTCTATGCTAACAGTTCCTTATCTTGCATTTCCCACTTGTGGAACTCCCACCAGGCTCCATGCTTTCCAACCAAATCCAAATGCAATGTCAATCACTATCTACTGTTCTCCCAATTGCTCTTTTCTTTTTCTCCTCATTAGTAATGTTTCTGTTCCTAATTCTGCTAGTGACTGTATGTTTTTTTGCTTGTGATGATATATAAAAAAAATATATATATATATATATATATATATATATATATATATATATATATATATATATAATATTCCATATATTGTATTACTTTTTGATCATTATTGATAATATTGGTTAATATAAAACTTTTTTTCAGGTCATTAAGTAAAAATAAAATTTTTTTTTTCTCAATATTAACTTCTGTTGAACAATATAGTCTCCATTTTGTTTTGCTATCTTCTGTCATTTTTCTACCATCTTTTTATCTTTCAAGAAAATTTTGTCTTTGTCAGACCTATTTTGCAGTCTTCCATGGTGTTAAAACTTTTTCATTAAGAGAATTTTGTAGATACTAGAATAGATGCTAATGCAAAAGTCGCAATATATCCTGAAGAAGACTGATAAATGAAAACTTCCCAGAAAAATTGCAACATTTTTTACCTGCTCATCAAATGCCATACAGTGTTGTCCTGATGGAATATTTTTGTCCTTTCTCTTAACTAATGCTGGATGATTTTTGTTAATTGTGTTTTCAATTAGTCTAATTGGGAGCAGTACTTCTTCAAACCAACTATTTGGACCTCTAGAATAAGTTCATAGTAAATGATTCTTTTCCAATCCTACCATATACAAAGTGCCACCTTATTTAAATAAAGACCAGACTTTTGTACAGTTAGTGATCGTCTATTTCAGTTGTTCCACATCACTGTAAAATATTTACTGTACAATGCTCATTAGAATTTGTTTAAAAAAAAAAGGAACATTTACATTCAGTCCACGTTAACTTGTGCGGAGGCTACACATCAAAGTGCCTAACATAATCAATTTACTGAAAATGTTTTCAATGCTGGATTTGAATATATTTTAAGTATTTTGGCTATCTCCTGCATTGTTTAATGGTGATTAACTTCAAAGTAATATCTTGATCGGATCACTGTTAGCCTCAATCGGTCTGTCTGACTGAGGAGCTCTGTTCTTGTTCATTATTTACTTTTTGTAGAGTTTGCTAAAAATAAAAAATGTTATCTGAAAAAGTCTTTACATATATAACAGTGACAAAAACTCTTCAGCTTTCAAAAATATAAAACCAACAATGGATAAAAACAGAGAAATACAACCAGAAAAGAAAATGGTGTTCAGTTTATGTCACCAGGGATGCATAGCAACCCCACAACTTTTATTTATTAAAAATCAAGAGATTCCCTGTTACAACCCCTTAATCTCTTACCCCCACCCCTACCCAGAAGAAAAATAAAAAAATAAACATTGTAATCACAACTTTTGGTGTTCACATTATTGTAAGTGCTCGGTGTACTGCATAACTGTTGTGGCAGTCAAGTTGTGGAGGTGCAGCACCTGTACTTCGAGGACGAAGTCTTTCTCTGGAAAGCAAAGAAAAATAAAATGAAATGTAAATTAAACTCTCACTACAACAATTTCTGATAAACCATTTATTTATTTGTATTATATTATAATGCTACTATTCTATAGCTATTGTTATAACACACTCTTATTTATATAACGTACTTCATATAAGGATTCTCTATATATAAAACTTTGGCAATTTGTTCTGATGTCTGTATTAGTTTGCCTGAAGACTGACTCCAATGGCTAGGTATTTACCCAGGCTCCCCACATAAACAGGATACAACACAAGGTCAGGTTTAATGTGGTGAACCCGTGTGTGAACACTCAGGCAAATGGTCCAAAATTTTTTGCTTATTTGTTTTTCTCAGCTGAGTCTCTATACGTAAACAGAGCCTCGACTGAGGCACCCTCTGCCTGAGGACAGAAGTTCTTGTCAGTTGCAAGCCAGGCAACAAACTGCCTGACTTGAAATAGCTAGGCAGGATGTGGCACAAGGCTGATTTTTATATGGAGTGAAACCAAACCCATAGGCTTGGGCAAAAAATTCCCCATAGACCCCACATACATGGGGTTGGTTTTGTCTAGCTACCCAGACAAGATTCTGCCCAAATGCATAGCCTTGGCTCAGTTCCTCTCTACTTGAAGGCAGAGAGTTTGACAAGTCACTTGCAAGCCAAGCAGTAAACTGCCTGGGTTGAAACGACTACCTCTCGTACTTCTGACCTGGAACACTTTATAGTAGTGTACTAGTTCATATAGTCACTGGTGTGTATGTACTATTTACTCCACAACATATTAAAAAGCTTTATTTTTTAACTTTATATAATTACATGAAACTTAGTATAAAAATAATGAAAAATGAGAAAAACTGTAGTCAATTGGTGAAACCTCCTGATGAGTAGACTGAAAAATTAGAAAAAGGGTTTTTCTAGAAACTTCCGAGTTGAGATGCTGAATATAATAACAATAAACTAAGTGAGAAATTTTATATTTCTATTAATCCTATATATGCACACACAAATAAATACATGAGTCCTTTTCCTAAATACAACAATTCTGGCAATTTACTTTTCTTCAATCACTAGAATGAATGTAAAATATTATAGGTAATAAAACACTGCAAATACTCCAGGTTGTGTTGCAAAATGCAAATGGTGCTGAATTATTTGAGATGTGCCAGAATATTGATGGCTGTCAAGCCTACTCTTGATAATTTAGTAAGTACTGATAACCTTTCATTCTTTAGATAAAGGTTTTATAATTATAATTTCTGTTTTTCAATATTATATGCTTTGTATTTATATATAGACTAGCTAAACACTGGTGTTTAGATTTAGAGTGTTAATATAAGGGTGAGCTGAAAAGTTAATAAGCTGACTATGAAGGAATGATGCTAGAACTGTGAAATCTTGCATCCATTAATTTCGACACTTTTTAATAATAACTGCATTTTTTCTTTCCAGGTAAACTGACATCTGACTGTTCAAAGAAGACTTCAAAAGTAACAAGTAGTGACTTCTCTTGAAAATGGATAAAATTTGGCACTGCGGTGTTATCAAGTACCTGCAGAAAAAGGGTTTATCCCCTAAGAAGATTCATGGTTGCTACGTTAGAGGACAATGCCTTAACTTTATCATCAATGCAAAAGTGTGCAGCTGAATTTAGGAGGGGAAAGGAGAATCTTGAAAGTGACCCATCCTGCAAATGCCACCACAGAGGAAATTATTGTGTTCACCACATGGTGAAGGATGACAGGCAATTAACTATAAATCAAATAGCCAATGCCATTAGCACATCCTGTGAAAGAGTTGAGAATATTCTGCACAATGAACTTTGTATGATAAAGGTTTCTGCTTGATGGATGACATGTCTTATGACACCTGATCAAAAGCTCACAGGCTGATCACATCATAGGAAAATGTGATAATGTTTGAGGTAGATCCAGCTGGTTTCCTTGAAACTTTCCCAAGATGAGTGTTGGGGGTCATCACTTTGAGCCAAAGACAAAGAGAAAAACTATGCACTCCTCACCTGCTCCCAAGAAAGCCAAGGTCATTTCTTCTGCAGTGAAGGTAATGCCTTCAGTTTTGGGACATGCAAATGGCATTGTGTTTATTATCTTCAAAAGGGCCACACCATCAATGCCAACTCACTGAGACAATTATGAAAGGCTATCAAGACCAAACAGCCAGGAAAACTAACAAAAGGGGTCTTGTTGCACCAGGACAATGCTTCAGAACAATCCTTGGTTTCAAAATGGCTGTTGTGCATGAATGTAGCTTTGAACTGGTTGATTACATTCCCTATTCTCCCGATTTCACTATCATCAGTTCCACAACATGAAAAAGCCCTTGGCTGGGAACCAATATCACAGTGATGTTGACATCATATCAGCTGTTGATGAGTTTTTTTGATCAACAGGATGAACAGTCTTCTTTGAACAATCAGATGTAATGTTTACCTGGAAAGAAGCAATGCAATTATATATATAAGAAGAGATGAAATTAATGCATGCAAGATTTCACAGGTCTCGCATCACTCTTTCATAATCAGCCTATGAACTTTTCAGCCCATCCTTATAGTTTGAATACAAGAGAGGTAAGGGGATAAAAGTTACTGAAGTGAGTTGTTTTAATGTGACATTTATTTTAATTTGATTTTACAAGCTAACAAAACAAAATGTGAACTTTGGATGGTTTATCCTCAATTTTGATTTGAATGTACAACAACTTCTTATAAATCAAAAAACAGGTTTGTTGTTTAAACCTGTTTTCTATTTATTTCTATTTTACCCAATTGTCAATCAGACACAATAACATATTTTTGATTTCCTTGCATTTATGTCTAATCAGTTTGATAAGCTCAAATTAGCAACTGATGTCATAAACAACCTTCAGAGTCTCTGTTGTCAACTGGAAAGCAAATAATAGCCAAACAAAACTGATCTCTATTAATCATCTGAGAGATCCCTTTCTACCTTCCATCAGCATGGCTGATGCTAACCTCCAGGATAGGGAGGTGTTATGCCTTCTCAGGATAACATTCTTAGCTGATATGAAGTGGAAAGACTATACTGAATCCATTTCTTGGTTTGTTCCTAAGAAAATTGGTTCACTGTGTTGTGCTAGACAATTTTTCTCTCCAGAATCTATCTTACATATCTATAAGTCTATCGTTCATCTGTGCTTAGAATATTGCTGTCACTTATGGTCTAGTGTTCCTGCTATATATTTAGTGATCCTTGATAAAATCTAAAAAAGAATCAGCAATATTATTGGTCCTGACCTGGCATCTCAGCTTCAGTAACTTTTCCAATGCTGTAAAGTTGCTTCCCTACTAAGTCTTTTCTATAAAAACTTTCATGGTAATTGTTCAGATGATCTCTTCACTATGGTACCTAGACTTTATGAATTTAAGCACAGTACTAGACTAGCATTGTGATCTCATCAATTTACAGTCAAGTTGGTGAGATGTAACCATAAGTTCTATGCTAACAGTTTCTTTTCTCATATTTGTTACTTGTGGAACTCACTTCTGGCTCCATGCTTTCTAGTCAGCTGTTATCTTCAAAAAATTAAATGCAATGTCAATCACTATTTACTGTCTTCCTGATTACTTTTCTGTTGTTCTTGCTCCTTAGTAATGTTTCTGTTTTCTAGTTCTTCCACACTCAGTAACCCTTTGTGTCTTAGTGGCTTTACTGCCTTGCTTGGGGTGAACTCAATTAAAATAAAAAAAAATTCCTAATGTGCAGCCATTATCATCAAGAGCATTTTGCTTATTATGTTTCAGTATAGTATCCTCTGAGCATCTTCAGATGTCCATTATTTTGAGTGATATGTGTTAACTATTGTGTTATTTTGTTCATTATCTGATCCACATAGTGAAGTATAATTGACAATTGCTCATACCAAAAAATTAAAAATAAAAGTCATGCAATAGCATATTATCCATATCTTTGTCCAATATAAAATGTGATATCATGATATTTTATATCTCTTGACATCATTAATTACCTTTTTTTGTTTTACTAAATTACAATACAAGGCTCAAGAGCCACTCAAAATATAGGATCATTTAATGAGGTGCGTGATATGGATGTAAGAGGTGGTAGGAAGTGAAGATTAGGAGAATAAGGATAGATAATGATTGACCCTTGACTTGGATGAGGTTAAGATTGCAATGTTGAGGGAAGCATCTCTACATAAGTTTGTTCTCCCAAAGTATCAGTTCTTGAGAAAAATTTGTCTGAGTGGAAATGTTGGTCATTTGACTCCATGAATGTCGCATGTCCTAAGTATAAAGGTGGAACTAAAGAACATTTGCCATGGAAATAGTGATCGAGTAGTGATGAGTTTGTAATGTTGCATCAGTAGAAAAGAGGCCCAATAGAAGAAAATAAGTTTTCCCTAACAAGACTGTGTTTGATCTTTTTCCAGAGAGCGAAGATCAAGCAGCTTCAGCCGAGATATGGATGCAATATTTTTAATCTAATCTGACTCTTTTGAAGATAAAGCACAGCGTCATATTTTGTGCCAGTGTAAATCAATTTTTTGTTTTAAAAGGAAATCTTTATTTAGTGAAATATAATTATTTGAAATATAAAGAACTATGTTTTTTTTAAAAAAAAGATATTGTTCACCCAATACAAGTTCCAAGGGGCACTCAAAGTAGAGTGTTACTGAATGCAGTTGTTATAAGGGCATATATTGAGGGTGTAATCAGTGCATATTATGATGTTATGGAGGATAGATAATAGTTAAGCCTAAACTTCAAGAGGTTTAGATTGTGTTGATCAGGGAAGCATACTCTTGGGAGTTTATTCCACAATATAACAGTTCTGGGAAAGAATGTGTCTGAGTGGAACTTCCTCCTTACCAATGAATTTCAAAGGGAATGAGGATGAGTTGATGCTATGTATGGAGCATGGTGAGTCTTAGCTGAGAAGATTTTGTATATTGTATACATAACTTGTCAACCCAACTTTGCAAGTAAGCAATACCAAGACAAGTTTATATTAAAGACAAAATATGAAAGTTGTGGGTTGCTGAGGTGATGAGGTTAGTGTAGCTGGTTGGCCAGTGTTCTATGAAATGGTGGTAGCCTGAGTGGTTTGTATGCTTGTAGAGTTGTAGTCGCTTCTTTGTGGAATTGGAGTTGCTTGGTTGCAGAGTCAAAGTTGCTTGGTTGCAGAGTTGGAGTCACTTGGTTGTGGAGTTGTTGCCATGATGAGTCAGAGTCACTGCTTGTAGAGTCATTTGCTTGCAGAGTTGTTGCAGTGAGTTGATGGTGTTGCCAACAAGGAAGACTTTTAACTGGGTGGTGTTAAAGTTGAGATGTTATCAATTATGATGGTTAGCATTGTGGGCCTAGTGATGTCAAGTAGGATAGTGAGTCAGGTTTGCTGAGGTGACAGCAGTGGTGATGAGCGGGGGGTTGTTGCTGGGTGGTGTTGACATTGATATTTTATCAGTTGCAACAGTTGGTATCTTGGGCCTGGCGGTGTCAAGGCTGGATAGTCAGCCACTGTAGTGAGTTGGCATTGGCGACGAGGAAGGCTTGAAGCTGGGTGATGATGACATTGAGTTAATATTCTGAATTCCATGTGTAAAGTTGGGTGTTTAGTCAACCTGGGAGTGGTGATGGCTGTTGAGAGGAGCAGTCATGTCGGTGGCAGTGATAGCAACCTGCATATTGGTAGGCAGCCTGCTGGCCCACAACTACTTGTGGTCATTTAGTTTCAATTTCACATTGAGTAAGAGTCCTTTTTATTGTGTGTCTAAAGAGATAACTAACTGATTTATACACACACACACACACACACATATATTATATGAGAGAGAGAGAGAAAGAGGATATAAACATTCAAGACAGGAAATTATATAAACACCCAACCTGGAAATGTAGTTTACATCCACTTGAGTAGAAGATCAAATGTTCAAAGAAAGTCCCCCACCCAAAACCTCACATATCTTCATAGTCAACATTAATTTGATGGAGCCCAGAAGCAAATAAACCACAGTTTTAAGTATGATAGATCCAGTGTTGTATTCTCATCAACAGTGTTGGTTGTTATTTTATAACTGCTGAAGGAGCTCCCAAACAAGAATAAATATGAGATACTAAAAAAGGAACTGAAAAGAAGGGTGCCAAAATGCGTTTACCATTTTAATTAAATGCAATATAACATGGCATAAACATGGTACTTACAGCCAATAAGATTTGCACTCTACCTTTTGAGCTAAGGTGAACTGAGGTGGTTAACTATCATCTATGAATATCTTTGTTCCCCATGGTATGAGTTTGGATGTTGGTTGCAGCATGTGTTCTTCTAGCCTCTTCTCTAGACCAGACTGGTATCTTAATCCATCTTGGTTGTCCCTACTATGCCAAGGGCATTAACTCACCTCACTTATCTGCTCACTAGGTGGCGTGTTCTATCAACCCTACAACAGTTACCATGATAACATTACATTGAGCTTAATACTTACTGGATTACTTTGAACATACTTTCTGACCAAGGTCCAGTTTTAGAGTTAAACACACTCTGATGACCATTTCTGAATTGGTTGTCTTCCCATCTTTGAAAATCATAACGGTCAGGAGCAACCATATTCTAAATACATAAATAAAAAACACAAAGAAAAAAAATCAGTCATATTAGTTCTTTTACATTTAGTGGGAAACAAGAACTATGCCATGGTTACTTAATATTACTAATTTTTAGTTAATTGAAATTCATCAATTATTGTAATTAATGAGAAACTGTTTAGATATTGCCCTTTTTGCAACCTTAAACTTACTAAAAGCTATAAAGGACAGGATGTTGTGGAGAGCCATGATTGTGCACATGATATACCATATAGAAGAAAAAGAAGAAGAATGTAATTTATTTAACTCTCAGAATAGTTTGCCATATTAATTCTTTACATTTAGTGGGAAATAGGAACTATAGCATGGTTATGTAATATTACCAAATTTTAGTTAATTGATATTCATCAATTAACTGCAATTATTGTAATCTTATTTATGGTAGACTAATATTAAACCAAAATAGTACTTAATGATAATATTATTATAAAATCATATTCATGAACAGTTTTTTAATTGCAGTAATTCAGGTAATAGAGTTCATAGTTAAGTTAAATATGAAAATGATTTAAACTTTTGCCACAATCAATACTTGTATAATGGTTGTTGCTTTGATTTTGCTAGTTAGTATTGAATTATATATATATATATATATATATATATATATATATATATATATATTTATATTTATATTTATACATTGAATATTATTGGATGAGAATTTGATGGAATGATATTTCAGTTTATGACTTGTTTTTACTAAATTAGTACTGAAAGAATGTAAGATTAGTCAACCTTTTGGAAAAATGTAAAAATCAAATAAATTAATATATAAAAATAAAAAATAAATAAAACTCAAAACTGAGTTAAAATTAGCTAAAATTTAATTTCTCTAATAACGTAATTATAGTAAAAATCAGGCCTTCAAATGCTTAACATGAGTGAAAACAATATAAGTTTTATTCCTCAAATGTATCATTAAATATTTTTCTTGGTTCTCTCATAACGATGAGTCGTGTTCAGATATAAATAACTCAAATGTATATTTACTACCCAGGACAAGTATTGAATTGATAGCCTTCAGCTAATGTAAACTTGTGCTTTAATAAGTTGATCTGTTCCACCTGCAGTTGAAATGGGTTCTGGCCATTGAGTTCTATATAAACTTTTTCCACATGGGAGATCTAAAATCCATTTTCCTTTGGCTGGGATTCATATTCCTGAATATTAGCCCTAAGCCCAGGTGGAGGCCATCCCCTCAAGCTTTACCTCTCCCTCTGGAGGGGTGCTGAGTTTATTGTCCAGTGCCTGAGCTGTCCTTAAAAGGGAAAGTGCTGAGAGAGTTTGGGAATTTTTCTATGGTACTACCAATAAACCCAATTTAAATTGATCTTGTGTCACATCTGTTGTGTAGTGAGTGCACCAGTATATATCTATAAAATCCATCTGCCTTTGGCTGGGATTTATATTTTAACCCAAGCTCCAGGGGGTCCTCCCTCCAGGCTGTACCTCTCCCTAAAGCTATTTGCCATTAAACCCACTTTAAACCTCCACCTTGTGTCACATGTAATTGCGACATGGGTTCTCTGGTAAATACTGTAAAAGCTATTTGCTGTTAAACCCACTTTAAACATTAACCTTGTGTCACATCTGGTTGTATGTGGGCACACTGGTAAATGCCTATAAGGCTATTTGCTGTTAAATCCACTTTAAGCCTTGACCTTGTGTCACATTCAATAGTGATGTGGCCGTGCTGAAAAATAAATAAAGAAAAGCTATTTGCCTAGTGAAGTTATGTCAGATTAAATCAACAACGCTTTCTGTAATCTTAAGTTACCTTACTTAATCCAAAGTGCTTCTTGCTATATTTTTGTCTTTCTTTTTATAATTAATTTTTATTTATTTATTTTTATAGCTATGACACACTGAGTGTATAATTAATTTGTTATTTATGTATTTCTTTATGGATATGACAAATGCTAGGCATTTCTCTTTCTTTATTTCATGTTCATATCCACAGAACTGAAATTTTGTTTCTCTTATCCTCAGCGAGTGGGTGTCATTTTTGTCAATCCAGGCATTCAAGGACATATTTACTAGTTGTAATTGTTCCATTTTGTAACGGTGCGTTGCATTGTACATTCCTCCAATTTGTCTCATTTGAATGAATTCTTTTTCAATTGTTTGTCTTTCCTGTGTAAGTTTTCAAACTCACAATACCAAGATGTATTTTTTTAAACAATGCAAAAATTTTGTAACAGGTTCGACAGCTTCTTGCCTGGTAGCCATGAATTTTGCTCTCTCTACAATTACTAATCTCTTTTCAGGTCATATATTTTTCTGTATAATTTAACTTATTTCATCAATGTAAAATTTTTCACTCATTGGGCCATGTGTTGTTGGATTACTGCCCCCTGATGACAATCACAAGTGGAAAGATTTTGAATTATTGCCCACTGATGATAATTACAGCCAATACAAAAACAATAATTATCATTAATTCACTCTTTCTAAATCAATGAGAATCAACCCTACTTTTCTCCTCTACATACACAAACATGTAACAAACTCACTATCAGACAAGCAGTCAACACAAACAGGCCATCAACATTTGCATCAATGAAAATTTGGGCTCCTTTTCTTCTTTCAGGCCATAATAGTAACATTTATCTCTTTGCACGCAACAATAATTCCCAGATACTTCTTGTAATTTTCCAACTAAATTATTTGGATACTCATTACACATATCTATAAAAAACATAAGAGAAAGACTGACTTATTCTTTATCTTATCATTCTGTTGGATTCCAGTTCATATTTGATCTACATTTGACCCCAAACGGACAATTTTACACACTATTACTGCCTCTTGGGTTTCCAACACCACATAACAACCATTTAGTAAATAATACATGTTTTGTTGTTTCCATATTTTGCTGTTTGTAATTTTTTAAAAGTATTTTTGTATATATAAATGTTAGGAGTGGGGGTTTATAATTATTTACTCACAGTTAAAACTTTCCTACAAAATAATAATGGAGTTTTCTCATTGAAGAACAAAGAAAAAATATTTTACTGAAATTTTGAATAAACAATGTAGATTTGGATATGCAAATAAACACAGGCAGCAAAGTAATGCTAACACCAAGAAATTCTTTGGGGGACATATAGGCAAACCAAAACTATATCAAAGGCATCTTCTAGTTCGATAGGTCAGTCATAAAAACCTTGAGATATTTTGAAAGGTCCCTAGAACTGTAAAACAAATTTGAAATAATACCCATTATTGTTGTAAATTGCAAAAAAAACAAAAATCAAAGACTTGTTGGAAATGATGTCCTGAACATTAACTTTACAAAATTAATTAATGCAGTTAAGATGGAAGGAGCAAGCATGTTAAAAAAATATGAATCACACCTAAAGTTAAAAGAAAATGTTACACCCTCCTATTATGAGGTACAGAAATTACCAGTGCATTTATTATTGTTCATAGTAGCAAAATTGTGAAAATTAGTAGAGCAAGACAGTCTTGAGAGTGTTCTTCCAGGAGAAAATTAGAGGTGGGTATATGCATTTGTGGTTTTTGTGGGAGTAATTCATAAAGTTTGCTCAGACTCATATCCCATACCAAATGTGGAAGTGGCCTTACATTCCTTAGTAGGAATTAATGTTTTTACCAAAATAAACCTAACAACTGCATATCAGTAGATACTAATGGATGAAAAGTTTAAAGAAGTAACAACAATGAACTCTCTGATAGGTCTCTTGGGAAACAACATTAAAAACATGTTATGTCATCAAGATGATGTATGCCTAGGGGCCATTAATAAAAAGGAGTTAAAAAGACAAACTGACATAGTCTTGAGTTGATTAAGAAATGCAGGAATGATAATAAATGAGAAAAAATCCATACACAATAGTGACAAAATATTGTTTCTGTGATATTCCATTTCAAAAAAAGGAGTGTCACCAGATCAAGTGCTAATAGGAAAAATACTAAAAGTACTGGTACCCACAAATAAAAAAAGAGTACTTCTTAGGATTAGTGAATTTAATAGATGATGTGTACTATACTATACAGATCTAATGGAACCATTTGCTAAACTGAGAAAAATGCTAAATTTATGTGGACTGAAGAACAATGAAAAGCTTTTGATAAGTTAACTCTTGCAAAGAAACCAGTGGCAACAATTTTTGACCTCAGAAAGGAAATTACACTGACTACAGATGCCAGGGAACATTCAATAACTGAAATATTAACACAAGAAGGATGCCAATAATGTACTTGTCAAGAAGGTTGATAAATGCTGAATTTAATCATTCAAACATCAAACAAGAAGCTCTAGCTATTGTGTGGATGGCTATGAGAGCTTGACAATTTTTGATTAGAAGAAATTTATATTGAAGCTTGGCCATAGACCATTTGAATTTATATTTAACCTGAGAAGAGAATTACCCAAAGTTACATCATGGAGAATATTGAGGTGGGTGTTAAGATTAATGGCTTTTGACTTTGATATAGGATATATTAAGGGAAATTCATTTCCACATGTGGATGCATTACCAAGGTTTCAGTTTTACGAAGATTCAAATGAAAATATAAAAGAAACTTTTGAGGCTACCTTTTTACATTGGATAAAGACTGAGGTTTTGTCTTTGGATATAATGGCTGTTTAAAATATACAGGACCCAGTACTAAAAAGTATAACATCAAGAATAAAAAAGAACATATGGGGTAATTGTTCCATGGCAGAAAGACCATACAAGACAATAAGATACAAATTAACAATTGAGAGTGGAGTGATTTGTAATGGTTATTTATTGATACCAAAGAAACTTGTGATAAAAGTGTACATGATGACATACACTGTGGTATTGCATCTATTTAAAAAAAGGCTAAATTTAGAAGCATAGTAGCCAGCATATTTATAAGATGAGGAGGAATATGTTAATAGATGTCTGAAATGTAAAGAAATAAGGAACTTTACAAAAAGTAAAGTTGCAGGCTTCAACAATTTTGATGAGATTTTATATACTCCTGGTACATTTGACTCAGAAACAATTTTTGGCAGACTCATGTAAGTCCAAAGGAAAAATAAGACAGTATTTGAATAAAGAAACTTGAACAAATATATTGATAGAACATTTTATAAAAGGAAAAAATGAGAAATGAAATTAAATGTGAAAAGTTCAAAGCCACCTTCATTGTCTGTAGTTGAGGTATTTACATTTTTGTGGGTGTCAAAAGAATACATCTTTTCACTGTGAAAAATCACTGAGAAAGAGATGGATACTTTCAAATCATGCACCGGCTGTAATTATCATCAGTGGGCAATAATTCAAAATCTTTCTACTTGTGATTATCATCAGGGGGCAGTAATCCAACAACATGTGACCCAAAGAGTTGGAAACATGGAATTGCATTCACATGGATCACACATACATTAATGGAGTGGGACTCTTATTAATATTAGTAGACTTTTTTTCAGGCTGGCCTGAGGTAATTTGTGTATCTGACAAAAGAAGTGCTACTGTAAAACAAATTTTAAGAGTCATATTATCTAGTCATGTAGAGCAAAAAAAACCCTGGTTTCTGACAATGCTCTAGGAATTTTGTGACAAAGGATTTAATTCATGGCTAAGAAAAATAAAATGTACACCTCAGAAGATACCTCTGTATGTTCACCAATCAAATGGGATAGCAGAAAGAATGGTGCAAACTATAAAGGTGAGTTGTTAGCAACAAAAAGAAAAAGTAGAAATTTTTCTACTGATAACTATACAGCAAGCTTCCACACATTGGAAAGTTAAAGAGCCTGTCTACCTTAATTCAAAGTCAAACCAGATTTAACTACTGATGAAAGAATATGGTATTAAAAGAGTAAGGAATTAGTTGCCTAAAAGGCAAATTTTCTTATGCAAAAAGGAAACCACACATCTGAAGAAATGAAAGTAGCATACTTGACCATGCAGATCAAATGAGGTCATGAGATGAATATGAAGAGGAAAAAAATAATGAAGAAATGTCTACTAATATTTCAAATAATGATTTTATAAAACAAGAATGAAACACACCTTTATAGCAAACCACCCTCATTCTCTTTGTATTCCTTCAGTGAGATGTAGTTTCTATTCAAGCAGCAGCTTCTCATAAATCACTGCCTTGTGGAACTAACTCCCAAGAGGATGCTTCCCCAATAATTATAATCTTAACCTGTTCAAGTCTATAATTAACCATTATCTTCAGCACATATAAGCATAAGCTGTGCCTTACTCTGTAACCCACTCCCTTGAGTGGCCTATTCTTGTACAAGGTGAACACCATTGTAAATATAAAAAAATAGAAAGAAATAAGAGAGAAAATTTTAAAAATGGTGAGGAGAATAAAAAAAATGAAAGAGAAAAGTCTTTGTTTTTTTTAACTTCAAACTATACATTTTAAATTAAGCTCTGATCAACTTTCTTCAAATGGTATTGCAGGAATTTTAAAATGCATCCAGGAATTGATGCCAGAATGAGAAATTTTCATTAATCAAAGTGATGATCATGTGGCTGCAGTAATGACATGGAAAAACAAAGGCTGCACTAGTATACTACTTAGGTCCTATCCCCAGTATGTTTCCTACATCCTGGGGACCTTGTGCACATCTCAAGTATCAGTCTTCTCTACTAGTCCCAAAAGAGAACAAAAAAATATATATATACAAAAACTGATGGAAGACCCAGTGCTCACTTACAAAGAGTTGCACTCCATCAGAAGACAATCATACTACAATGGGCTTCAAATTGTGCACAGGACAATTAATAGTCTGATGACATAATTCACTGAAGTGTACCAGGACCTCAGCAAAGATCCAAAGATAAACAACATAAAAAGATTCACAAGAGAAATTAATCAGAGCCACTAATCTGATGATGGATATCATATCCCCTGTCACAATCTTATCGCAGTTTCTTCAAACAGAAAATGTGGAAGTGGCTTTAATAAAAGTGAAGCTAAATTCGCTTGCTTTTTCTTCCTCTTGTATTTGTGAGAAATTATGTAATATAAATTCTAATTTTAATGCCATAATGATTATTTTATGTATACAGAGGGTTCATGTCAGTTAATTGAGAATAAATTATAATATGAAGAAAAACAAAGATAATAGCAAAAAATTAATTTTAATAAATTTAAATTTTTTGATAGTTAAAAAAAAATCAAAGGGAGAAAAAAATAATTATATCTATTATTTGTATAAATATTCAGGGCTAACCTGAATAAATAAAGTTAAAGGTTATTTTAAATCAATTCAAATTGAGCTTCTTCTTTTTCTATGTGCAATAACCCTTTAGGACATTCATGGCTCTCTACAATTCCCTGTCCTTTGCAGCTTAGTAAAGTTTATCTTTTTATATCTCCCCTAATCCTTGTTCTGCCAATGATTTACACAAGTTCATTAGGTAGGCCAAATGAAGAATTGGTGTTTAATATATATATATTTAGAGTTCTATTTTTAATTAATTTTTAAATATGAATATATTTCAACAAATATTGCTGTTTTTGAATAATATCAATATAAATTTCATGTAGCAAAATTTTATGCTTAAAAAAAGTATGCAAAAATAGGCTCATCCAATCAGTGGTTAGTTTAAACTGTATAATGCCTATGCATTACTTTGATGACTTTTCTTGGAAAAGAGGCTAGCCTTTTTTGAGCAAACAGGTGACCCAATAAACAATTGTTGAATTCATTCTTTCTTGAATTTATTTATTTTAAATTCTATTTCTTCTCTGCAAACAATCACAGGTAAAGGTAGACAACTTCGTTCAATTATTGAGAATATGTTTGCAAACAAAATTACTGATTTGTTTTATAAGAACAGTATTTTGCAATTCAAAACTGACTTACAAGAAAAAGAAACAAATCAGAAACTTCCAAACTTATATTGACTGAAATACTTCAAACCAGAAGACACTTCCTGTAATATTTACCATTGTAGAAATATTTTTGAACTATATCTTTTAATAAAAAAATAGTGAACTTTTCTGTCAGCAAACAACAAAAAGAGAAAATACATAAAAGGTTTTCAAAAGATACTTTATTTGAATATTTTATTTCAGCACGACCTAATTGTATATTTCTGTATATAAATTTGAATATTTCCTTCTCACATACAAAAGGAGCTGTTTTGTCACTTTTATCAAAATGTTATTATTGACCTTGTGCCAGGCGGACAACAAATTAAAATGTTTGTAGAGTTTTTCTTCACACAAAATGATCAACTATTATTAACTATCTTAACTAAAGCCTTCTGATAATAATTCTTTGAATTAACACACATAACTCTGCAACATTATATATATATATATAGTTCTAAGTTAATTTCCAGAGTAACCTCAGTCAAATGTTTGGGCATAATATATAAAGTAAGTAATATAGTAAGTATTACCAGTATTATAATGATGGTTCGTTCTAGGATTCATTCAATACTCGAATTCATTAAAATCATTTTTAATATTTTTATTTATTATAATACATTTATTATAATTTTATTTTTTAATAAATAATAATAATAAATGTTTTGCAGGTAAAGAGGAGTGTACAAATAATGGGGGTAAACTGTTTAAGCATTTGAGGGATTGATATTTATTATTGATATGTCATTATCGATATGTTTGTATAATCAATACAATACATTTTGTGTGCATGTTTTGTGTTTCATTACTGTATACCTACTTTTGCATCCCTCTGTGTGTGTGTGTGTGTGTGTGTGTGTGTGTGTGTGTGTGTGTGTGTGTGTGTGTGTGTGTGTGTTTTTCCATGGAATGTGACAGCCAAGAAAAATCTTATAAATTTTTATTAAGTTTTTCCAATGATCTTACAGTTTTCCTTTTGAATCCAACAGACCTCCTGCTTGATCAACATTCACTATCTACACCTAATCCCTTGTTGCCACCACTGTAACCTCAGCAACCAATGCACCTTACCACAAATCAACCCACCACCTCAATTGACCAACTTGCCAACCTACCGTATCAGGCAGTTTAGCTTCAACATCTCAGTATCACATGACCGCCAGCCCATCAAACACCTCACAGATGTCAATTTAAACCTTAAAGAAATGTGTGCATCAAACCCCATCAATGGCTAATCCACTCCAAATCTATCCTCTGATCCCAATTGTGATCTCAGCCAAACAACTCAAAAAATCAGTCAACTCCCAACCCTACTGAAAACACCCTTGCACGAACAGCAACTGAAGAAACACACATGAACAATTTTTGCCAAATTTGAAACAACTATGTATATATTCTGAATTTTAACGAATACATGCTGATAAAAATTTAATCCTTGTTTGTTCCTTTCCTTTCCAACCAAACACTTGTTATAACAAGACCAACTATTTAAAAGTCTTTTCTAAACTACAGATTTTTTTCTGCATACCAACTACCCAAAGACATCAACTCAGCTAAAGACTATTTTTACTCCTTTTCAATTTTTTTGAATTCATGTACGAGTACATATGTTTGTAAATATAAATGATTTATTTAACAGGCAAACCCATGTTTTCTTTATTTTTATTTTATTATTGTTTGGAATTTGGATATTCAGATGTTTAATATTAAAAAAAAAACATGGATGACTGGATCTCCTACACTATAGCCTGCAATTGTCAAAAAAAACAAGAAAAGCACTAAGATAAGTGGAGTCATGCCTTTTCCAAGTGAACACTAGCTGCCTCAGCAGAAATTCAAATTAGGATGATTTTGTTTTCCATGTTGGTAAACCATTATACCACCCCAACCATTCTATATCATAAACAATACTAAACACTAAAAATAATACTTATGTAGAAATGGTTAAGTAAATATACTTAAATGTAAATGTTATTCTAGATAAAACAATATTGATATAGCAAATCCTACTTACATAATTTTGTAAAAATGCTTTTTGTGATTTTTTATCATTTCGCTTAGTTGCTGTCCAAAATGGTGCTACAGGTTTTGTAACTGGTTTGGAAGGATATCGTGGGTTATAGGCACCAGGACCTGGAAATGTCTGAAAAACATATTAGCAAAAAAAAAAAAAAGAAAAAAAGATTTGTACATGAGAAATTAATTCAAAATATCTAAGCTGTTATTTTTAGTATTTGCAAATTATACATATAAAATAAATCTTGATTATATAACATTTATATTAAACCATTAAATGCAGTAGAACTATTTACCATTTGCAGTTGAGCCATAGAAATTTAATGATAGAAAATTTTATCCTTTGCAGTAATGGGTTAATTCCTAACCACTGAAAATTCTCCTTTTCATGATTTTTGATACATACCAGATGACATTATGGAATTTGCTGAAACATATATTAGATAAAAGTAGTAGTTAAATCAGTGGGAAGTGATAAGAAAAACTAAAACCTTATCTATGTATTTTCTTTTATGTCTTGTATCCTTTCAGGACATCGGTGATCATGGCTCTCCACAACTTCCTATCCTTCATAGCACTAAACAATTTTTGTCTCCTTATTATCCCTCCTTGTTCCTATTCTGCCATCCATTTAAACAAGCTCGTTAGGTATATTACTCACTGACTCTCACTCTTCTTTCTGCCTTCTACATATCCTTTGAGTGTCAAATTCTCCAAATCCTCTTTCCTCATTATATGTCCTAGAATTTCAACAGTCTCTTTCTGATTCTAAGTGTAAGTGTCTTTTTTATTTGTTTTCATTTTCATTAAAATGTTCTGTCTATAGTGAGTTAATACATGCACATATACTTTAACACACACTCACATGCTGGTCAAACACACAGGCATAGCAACAGCAGGCTTTAAGGCTCTGCTTAGCTATGCTGAACTCTGTGAGAGTTCTGGATTGGCCACAAAACATTTGAGGTCCATTTTCCTGCTACTTCAGCAGGAGATATGAAGCTCTTAGTCTCTTTTTGCTTCCAGAACAGGACAGGACTCATCTGTGCCTCTTCTGATACCAGATGCCAAACATTTTCAAAAGCAGAACTGTCATCATTCTGTAACAATATACAACATACATGTCCATGGTATTTTCAGTTTTATTCTGTAGAATCACATCTCTGTTGCCTCAAGTCTTCTCTTCATCTGTGAGGAAATTGTCGAGGATTTTCTGCCATGTAAGAGGATTGAAATTACATACCAGTTCAGTACACTTTCTTTTGTTTCTAACAAAACTTTCCTATTTCTTAAAAACTTTGTTTAACTTTTGGGAGTGTTGTTTTCCAACATGTAATTGTCCTCCCATGTCAACTGACCTATTTGTAGTCATTTAACTTATGCAATAGGGTAAGTTCATTTTATAGATCTCACTACACCTCCCTGAAACAAAGAGGTTTTATGCCCTTCGTTGATTTTTGACTTCTCCTAACTATAGTAAGAGATCTTATCTCTTTCTCTTGAGGAGTGTACCTGTTTTATTTTATTGAGGATTTAAGTCTGAAATCATCTTAGTTCTCATATTCCAACTCCATGTTGGATTTGTGCTTACTATTCTCCATAGTTTCTTTACTACTGTGTTCACTTTTACCATCAGAAGTATTCATCCTTTCTTTCCTCTCAGTTTTCTCACCATTTTTTACTATTGCTTCCATTTCAACTTCATTGTCAATTCTAAGTCATATTTGATCAGGGCAAGCCAATAAATTCCGTCCATTTGTTGTTATTATGTCACTTTTGTACAATAAATTTTGATTTTTCGGAACTTGATTCTGTCTTTTTTGTACCACATATTTTTGGTTTGTCCAATAGAACATCTAATTTGTCTTCCCATCAATGCAGAACTTTGCATTCTACCTGCATGTGGAATGGTTCTATAACTCAGTAATAGTCACAGTAAATAGCTATCTATGCCTTCCACCCCATTTGCACTGTTTGCACCATTCTCTGCAATTCCATTCAATTGCAGGTAGTATGCTAGTGTTTTAATCCAATTTGTTTTAATCACAAATACAAACTTTCATCACAAAATCCTGCATTGTCAGAGGCTAATGTTTTTTTTGGAAATCATTTCTGGAAAATATTACTTATAATATTTGCTTTACCATGGCTGCCTTCCTATCCTGAACTCTAATGTCAGGCTATCCAGAGAATGAGTCAACCAAAATTAAAAAATTCTCCTGCATTTAACATCCACATGAGACATGTGAATACAGGGCCACGGTTCTTTTTCTTTAGGCCATAAGTGTATCTTGGTTTGCTAAAAGCTTTTCTTTTCATACAATTTGGGCATTTTTGTACATATTTTTCTACATCATGTAAATACCCAGGTCACCAGTCTTCTAATTTTGATTGTCTCTGTGTTGCTGTTATTCCACAATGAACATGATTATGTACACTTTATGGCTTTACTTAATCTTTCATCACCATTGCATAGGCACTTCTCTATAGCTAACTTGTGCCTTACCTTTTTGGGGGGGTCTCTCTGCCCCAGAACAATCACTCCATTTGTTTCTTTTTATTCTTTATGCAATTTTACTTAATATTGGATCCTGTAAGTTTTCAAATGCAAAACAATTTAGGGATAATACATCAGTTTCAATCCAGTGCAATATTTTATCTTCTCAATTTAACATCTTTCTAGTCATTCATTGTTGAATTTTAGTCTTGATAGAGTATCAACATGTGGAATAGTGTCTTTTTTTTTCACATATTTGATGTCAAAATCAAAGCTATAAGCTTTATGCCCATCTTAAAATTCTAGAAGATCTGACTTCAGGTAATGCCTTTCTGGGGTTAAAAATAAACTCTAATGGTTTATGGTCAAATTTAAGCAGAAACTTCCTGTCTAATAAAAACTGGTGAGCTCTATCTGTGCCCCAGATGATAGCTAACACTTCTTTTTCAATGTTTGAATTGTTAGATTTGGATGAAGTTAATCTTCTAGAAAAGTCCATTATAGGATGACCTTCTTGAGACAAAACCACTGATACAATATGCTCACTTGCATCTGTTAAAATCACTTCCTTTTTAGGGTTAAATATTTTTACAATTGGTTTTTTTATAAGTGTTTTCTTTAAATTTTCAAATGCTATATTCTGCCATTGAATCCATTAAATTTCTACATAACTCCCCAAAGGGTTCTATTGATTCACTATATTTTGGGAAATATCTGTTATAAAATTGGCTAACCCTAAAAAAGATTCCAATTCTTTTTTATTTGTGGGTGTAGATACCTCTGATATTTTCTTCAAATTTATATCTGGTGAAATTCTGTCTTTAGAAATCTGGCATCCCAAATATTCTATTATATCACAATTTAATATAAATTTATCCTTGTTTATGGTCATCCCAGCAGTTTTTAATTTGTTTAAAAAATAATCCATTTTTTGTTTTAACTCTTCTTTACTGGAAGCACCGATGCATATATCATCTTGATAAATGATCATATTCTTAATATCACCAGTTGGTACATTTTCAATTGTTCTCTGTAAAATAGCACTTGCTACTTTAACACCATAAGGCATATAATTCCATCTGAGTAAACCTATTGGAGAGTTAATTATAGTAACCTTTAATTTTTTATCAATTTGTATCTGGTTATGGCATATTTGAGGTCAATTTTGGCAAAGTATTTAATTCCCAACAATGTGTGAATAGCAGTTCCAATATTAGGAATAGGGAACAGGTTGGACCATATTTTGTGGGTTACTCCTATTTAGTAATCCCCACATATCCTTAAATCTCCATCTGGTTTTTGTAAAACAATAATGGGTGAGGCCTGACTACTATCACCAAGGGTAACATACTCTAAAATTCCTTGCTCCACCATTGTTTTTAGTTTAGCAACTACTAAAGTTAGAATGTGAATGGGAAGTCTGTAAGATCCAAAGTAAGAGGGACAACTATTTTCCGTTAACTGAATGCTCGCTTTGTATCCTTTTAACATTCCTGTGTCAGTTCTTTCTAACTTGACATTGTTGATTAATTTTGCTCTATCAACTTTTAAGACATCTATTCCCAAGTGTCCATGGCTTTTTTTGCATTTCACTATCATAACAGGAATAATTTTGAAGTGATTGTTGATCTCAAATGTTTTGATAAAAGAGCCATCAAATGTCTTAGTTTCAGATAATTTTTCTTTAATTCGAGTTTTCCCTTTGTTACTTGAATTTTATTGGGATTAGGGTGATATCATTCCCAGTATTTACTTGTATAGGAAAAGTTATACCATTTAGTTTCATTTTTTCTCTGGCATTTTTCTCTTTAAGTCTTTGTATGCATATACAGCTGTATTTTCCTGAGGGAGTGGGCAGATTTTCCACCCTTTCAATTTTATATTTGCAAATGGAATGGAAATGATCTTTCTTTTCACAATTCTAGCATATTTGTCCTAAAGCTGGACATTTCTTCTTGTCCATTCATGATCTTTATTGTAGTACTTGCATCATATAAGGTAGTTCAATACACTATATGCTTTAGAATTGCTCTTTGATGTATTGAATTTATCAATTAATTCTAATGGTTGCAGAAACTCTACGTATGTATCTAAGGACATTTTACTCAATTAAAATTGTTCTAAAATTTTGTGTTTATACAATACATCAAACATATCTTCTATTAATCTCAATTGTATTAATTCGATTTCTATGGTCATTTCTCTTGTGCCAAGTTTATCAAACTCACAGAATCTGGAGGCCTCCTGTAACTTGTATATATACTGTATTATTGTTTTGTCCAGCTCTTGTTTGCTCGTAGGAAACTTTGTCCATTCTGCAATAACCAGCCTTTTTGTTTGGTCACAATTTTTTTTTTTTATAACATCCAAAATTTCTGAAAACATTAAATCCTCTAAATCTTTGAGATTCACCATGACGGAGATCTTTCTAATGGCTTCACATCCTGCTGAAGCCAAAAAGAGATCTGTAATTTCATTATCCCCTCCTGCAACTTTTGTCGCAGTCACAGTCCAGCGCCAATATGTGAATATATGACACTGCACCGTCGGTCAGTGGTCAGTTGTGGCACAAAGCTGTAAGGTTTCTTCCACTAGTGTTTGGAGTTGACTCGTTGTCGCTACCACCAGCCTGTGTCCTAGTCGTTCTGGTCATTCCCGGTTCGATACCAACTTGTCGTTCCCAGTTCACTTCCAACGTCTGGTTACCGAAGTAACTACTTTGATCTCAAGTCTAATCTATCCACATTGTGATTTTGATCTTAGGTAGATGAAATCAATCAGGCATCGGGCGGTAGTGCAAGCTGAATCTGGGGTAAAGGTGATACCGCACAAGCGTAAGTAAAAGAAAAATAATAAAACAAACTCACGAGGTTCAAATATGTTGAGAAATAACAATTAACTTTATCTATCTGTTGAATACAGGAGTGTGTTTCTCTCCCAGCCAGCTTCTATGGATTCGTGACACTTTTTGCGTTTCTTAAGCGAGTTATGGTATCTTAAGTCATTTGTCAATAAAAACTTGCTTTTTGTAGGTAGACTAAGTCGAAAAGGATGTGGAAATCTTTTGGTCAGCTTCTACGAGGCAACACTCTTGAACTAACTCCAAACTCAAACTGTCTGGAACTGAACTCCCTGAAACTCTGATCAGCTGCCTCGAGACGTTTGTTTATATGGACATCGACCAACTCCGGGGTGGGGGCCTGTTGTGGTTTGGGTTCTTTGACAATTCTCAATTCCCAACAGGAATTCTCTTTGTTCTTAGGCCAGGAAAATTAATTACTTCCCATTTTTGGAAAACTAATCACTTTCCATTTTGGGGGTTTCTCCCTCGTCTGTGAGGGAAGGTCGGAGGAGAGTTATCCTCCCAGACTCTTCCTCTCTCACATTGGTATCTCATACCACTCCCCTCAGTGGGTGTTAACAACTTCTCTGTCTTTCTCATACATTCACCTCCGCCTATCACCCATGCTACCAGTTGGCCAATGATCTCTTGGCAGTGTGGGTGTGGCTAGACTGGCCCTTATGTTTACAAAATCCTTTTGTTTTCTTTTTCCTTTTCCTTCGGCCAAAACATTTACCAATCCCAGATTGCCGAATAATTCTTTATCACATCGTAATTTTGGGGACACCCAAATCCACTTAGCTTGGGCCTCTATCAACTCATTAATCATTGTCGACACCCAACATTTGGCTTCTCTGCTAGTCAACTTTTAACTGGATGGTCAAATTCTTTATTTTTCTCATACCTTAAAATTCTCTTATCACCAGATGCTCATTTTCGAGACGCTATGTCTGACATCAACAGTTTGAATAAGCAATAATAATGATCCCCTTTTCAACTCTTTTTTTTCATGTCAAGATTTGTACATACACCAGATGGCTTCCCTCGCTGGAATCAGGAATTAAAGTTAAATGATATCTCTGAAAGATAATTAATAGCTATTCTCCAAGGTGGTCCCAAGCCAAATTTTCTCCACGGCCACATGTGTCAACCAGCTTTGTTTTTCTATCTGAATTCTGTTTATATTGGCATGTCACCCCCTTATTGTGACATTAATTAATTTTGACAGAATCACAGCCTTGCTTTTTCTTATGGATTTTCTGTCTTTTGCAAAAAGTATCTTTCTTTTGTGAATAAATTCTTCTTTTTAATGTCGCTCAGTCTATCTTTCGGTATAGCTCTTTTTTGCCTTAAGTATTTCCCGTTTTTAATTTTTATGGTTAATTAGTTAGCCAATTACCATAGATAAATAGTGTCACACTTTGTTGTCTTAACTTTTTGGGCCTGGCCTGGGCTGCAAAACAATGAATCAATGTTTCTACAAAATCTAGTTCTTCCAGTGATGTTAGAGATCCTATTGGTAACAGCACGTTGTTGTGTTGCCTTCCAAACTGTAACATAATAGAAATTTTCCTTCTGTATCATCTAACATTAGACTCATTTGTAGTCATTTGGCATTATGCAAAATAGGGTAAGTCCATTTTGCATATCTCACTATTGGAAGGCAACTTTTGCTATTCTAGTATACCTGTAGTCTTGATTCAGGAAGAGCAAACTATTTCAGATCTGAACTGTTTGCTGCTTAAAACCAAACTAAGGAAAACTTTTTTCCACCAGAAATTTTAGTTTTACTGGCCTTCTGCTTGGCTAGACAATATGTCCTCTAACCAATTAAATATTTCCTATCTGGAGATGTCCAAGAAAATTTTCAAGGACAAGATGGAATTTGGATCAAATGCAATACAAATACAAATACATTTCCTATTTGTGCTTTATCCTATCATTCTGCTGGATGTCAATCTTCACATGCATGTATAGTCACATCAATGTAAACATCACTTTAGTCTGATGAACTCCTAAAGGATGAAACACATGACACAAAAACTTTTTCCACTTTGTCATAGTTTTCTTAAAATTGTTCTTGACATATAAAAATTTATATATCATTTTCTCATATATTTTAATATAGAAATAACATTTAACTGCTAATTACAGAGTAGTTTCATGATTATAAATTCTATAAATAGCAAATGACTTGACATCAAGCTTAACAGCCACCTTTGGTGGCCTTCTAGCAAATAATAATAAAGATAAACATAGAAAAAGAAATTTGTAAACATCAAACTGTATTTTGTGCTAAGACATAAAGAGTCAAGTAAATAAGTTGTCTAAAGAAAGAAAAACTTGTTATTTGTATTCTCATTGAGAATTAATTATTTTCAAGAAAAAGCAGAAACTGAAGTAGATGGTGTTTAAACTTATACAATCAAAGAACTATGATTTTATCATTCATTCCTTGTTTGCTGCAATGTCAAATCAAGTTCAATTTTGATTTTAGAAATAAGTTCAGATCTGCAAAGAATTCATTAGTAAAGATGGAAAACAAAAGTATTGGAAAATAAGCATACAGGATTCTTGGGGTATGTTGAATCAGTAGTCCAGAAAATTCTTTCTGTTGGTGGATCAGGCCAACGATCAATTTTGGCAAACTTCCCATGTTTAATTTTATGGGGATGATTTAGCTTTTCCATTGGATTTTTCATTTCATATTGTCCTGGACCTAAATTGGATCTTTTCTATTCAAAGAAAAAAATATTGAAATGAGGGAAAAAGCATTATTCCATATAATTCATCAAATACAAAAGTAGAAATCATAAAATCACTATTTATGCTTGAAAAGGGGTCATTAATATTACTGGAGAAGAATGAAGTCTTCAGGATATTAGATTATTGAAGAATCAATTCAGTAATATCCTTTTTGGGAGAAAGAAGAAAAAAAGGTACCAATAAATATATGACAGAAAATTACACATTCTATCAAGGTTGCAAAAATAGCATTTTTACAGAAACGCACCTCTCCAACAGATAATGATTTTTTTTCAAACTTTCTTTTTCCTATTACTATAGAATAAGGTCATGAATATTAACATTTTTGTTTAATTTTCTAAATTTCAAGAAGAGGTGGCATGTTCAGTTTGCTATATAAATTAATTGTAAATTGATTTATTTATTATATATATATATATATATATATATATATATATATATATATATATATATATTCATATATAAATTCATTATAAATGATCTCCCAATGAAAACAAAACAAAAAAAATACTCATAGTACATGATAAAGCATATTCTTACAAAATTTCAAATAATTTCAAATTAAAATAAAAAAAAGTTAATATTTATATAATTAAAGAAGAATTAAAGCACTTACCCCTAATGCCCAATGTCCAGTGGTCAATGGATAACTTCGTACCCCAGTGAAGAGGTCATAGGGACCTCTTTGACTCACAACTTTGGATAACAAAGCGTTCACTTCACTTCTTAATTTATAGGTTCCAGGTGCTGGATTATTATTCTGTAATAAAAAAAAGAAATATTATAATGTTGACTATGGTAACAAGATTCCATTGAGTAGTTATAGTTTAATAGTTATCACTAATGGAAAACCAAACAAGGTTAGTTCTAGCCAGAAAGTGCCATGATTTTGTAACATGTATTTTTCCAAGGTAATGTTATATTCATTTGAATAATAAAAACTATTTCATCAAATGAAGGGATTTTAAATGTTTTTTTCCAATCTTCCCTTCACAGAGTTGTTTTTTTTTTCACTTTCCAGTTTCATAAACATGTTGAAATCATATCCTGTTGTCATAACAAAGACACAACCAAGTTATTTTGAGGTTATAAATGAGTAGGCTGTTTCGGAATTATATATAGATAAAACTTTAAGCTGTTTTCATATTATAAGTAAAACTTCAGGCTGTTTTATGATTATAAATAAAACATTAAGCTCTTTTAAGATTACAAATGAAACTTTAATCTGCTTTTTGGTTATAAATATAATATTAAGAAGTTTTGGGGTTATAAATAAAACATAAAGGGTTTATCCATAAATATAATATTTTATTTATAAATAAAACATTATAGGTTTATCCATAAAGTTTTAATCTGCTTTAATGTTATAAATCAAAATGTAACCTGTTTTGGGTTTATAAATAAAGCTTTACATTGACAAGATAAAGTCTCTTCATTTTTACACAACCAAACTTTATGAAAATGTCATTTCTCATCAAAAATGGAAACTATAGAGATAAGACAAGCAAAAATCCCCTTAGCACAAGTATCCCTCTTACCACTTTAAATACTCCCATAAATACTCCAATCATTTTATACTTTCTCAATCAATGGCAATGCAATTATCTAGTGAGACCATTTGTAATGCATTTCTATTGTAAAATCATTTGCTATGTAAATCTCTAAACTTTGGTCAAAAGAGATAAATAAAAGGAGTATACTTACACATTTAGCAATTTCTCGTGGGGTTCTTGCATCAATAATTCCAACACAACCAAAGGATGTTTTCTCTTTTTCTTCTTGGGTTGTTGATTTGGACTTGTATGTGCCTGGACCAGGGACACACTGAAATATTGAAAAGTTTGGTTGAATATAGCTAGACTGGTTTTATGATGTATGTTTATCCAAGTGTGGTATGTGTTTCACCTTAGATCATATCAGAATAATCTTTACACTCAATGCACTTAAAAAAAACTAAAGTGCAGGGCTGACGTGACAAATAACTTCCAAGCAACCAAGCAGAAACATGTGATTGACCCAGCTGCAACTGGGATGCAATGCATATGAAAGAGTCACATTACAAAGATGCATATATAAACATCCACATCAACAGTAAGTGTAGTCAAGAATGTTAAAGTCCACATTTCAGATATATAAACTCCCATTCCAATGGCAAGATGGGCAGCCTATATCAGACATCATAGTTGAGAATATAAGGTCCATGTTTCAATCAATTCCCAGCAACCTCTATCATACATTGTAAGATCCACATTTCAAATATATAAACACACACATCAGCAATAAAGGAGTAATCTCTATCAGACATCATAGATGAGAATGAAACATTGTAGGTGAGAATGTAAGGTCCACATTTCAGATACATAAACACTTACATCAATAGTAAGAAGAACAGTCTCTATAAGACATCATAGATAAGAATGTAAGGTCCACTTTTTAAATATATCAACACCCACCCCAGTGATAAGAGGGGCAACACATTACATTCCCATCTACAATGTCTGATCCATATTTTGGATGAGGGCCTAGGTCCATGCACACAAACTGGGTAACGGTAACTGAATTCAGGATTTCGAATAAAATGTAATACTACATATGAAAGATTCAGCTTCATTGGTCAGCATGATGACATCATTTCACATGCATAAAATATAAACAAATTCAATAAATGAATAAAAGTAGTTATCTGAAAGACTTGATCCCATTGTTGGATTCACTAATCCTGGATGTGGTTTGCATGATTAGTATAAGTTAAAAATCTCTGATCTTTAATGATATATTTAATCAAGATATTTCCTCTCATTATTAATAACATAATCCTGTCTGTTTAGTAAATTGTTGATCCCTCTGGCATAAAATTCTTCAGGTTTTGATGCAGAGAAACAATATCAGTTTTATTTTCTTGAGAATTAATAAAGAATTTTTCCTCTAAAATATGTTGCAATTATCTAAAATGATGATAACCAGATGGAGCAAGGTTAAGAGTGTAAGGCAGATGAAGCAAAACTTTTATGTTTAGTGCAGTAATCTTTTACTGTGTGACTTGGGCAATATGTAGTCTTGTATTATTGCTTAAGAGCAATACACCTTTACAATTAAGTAATGATGAGAGTTTTTGTGCAATTTTTCCAACTGACAACAACACTTCACTGCATTCACTGTTTCATTGTAATCTAACACATTATGATAGATAATACCTTTCATAACTCATCAACACACAGAACATAACTTTTTTGCATATGTAGTCCTGATTTAGGGATGGATTCTCATTTTTAAGTGGTTGCTAACCATTGTCATTTTCATTGGATATAGTTATAGAGAACCTATTTTCCATCACTGGTGAGGATTCTACCCAGAAAAGGTAACAAGTCTACTCTTCAATGATGAGAAAAGAGCAACTCTTTCATTAAACTGAAAAGCAATCAGATGATGAGGGATCCGTTGACCAAGTTTAGACACTTTACCTCGTTCTCAAAGGTGTTTTATGATTACTGTATGACTTGTATTGAACTTGTGCAGTTTGCCTTGGATTTTTCTCAACTATGGTATACAGAAGCTCCATATAGACAGACTGTGGTCATTCCAATCAAGACGAATATTTAAGAGAAAAATTTCATGATTGAAACTTGTTAAACCCTCATTGCCCTGCCTGGACACCTAAAGTTTCATTTCTATAGACAGAACAAATATTTCTTGCTGCCCTAGCAAGTTAGCACTAATCGCCGCTAACTCATTTTTCTACCTCGTTATTCCCAGTGACCACTTATATGAGTGTTCACTTATGCTTATGCAAATTATGCATACTAATTTGCTAGTATCACTACATCTCCCTGAACCTTAAGGGTTTTATTCCTCTTGTAGATCTTGTACTCCTTCTCCTGCTATTTTCATCACTTTGCTCTATTTTCTCTCTCTCCCGTATTTCTTTCCCTGGAAGACCTAGATCTGTCCCAGGCTAGGCTGTAGTCATATGTGTTTTCTTGCATAATCTGGTCTTTGTCGGAACTTTCAGGCTCATTCTGGCCCTCTTGATCCTGCATTATTTCATCTTCTGATGTTTCCTTCTGTAATGGTTGTTCTACCAACTTCGTTATCAGATGGAATTGAAGACATTTCTTTGTCATTTTGTTCTTCCTCTTCACCCTGGGTCCTTATTTGGTCTGCATGGGCTAACACACTATCGCCATTTTCTCTATTTATTATGGCTGTATTGTGGCCTTTTTGCATTATAAATTTGGCTCCTTCCGGATCTGCATCTTTGCTCTTTTTGTACCACATTTTTTTCATTTGTAGAATATGACATTGTTAGCGGAGCTCTAATCTGTCTTCCCATTAAAGCTGATGGGCTTTCTAGTCTTCCTGCATGTGGTATCGTACGATAACTTAAAAGCAGCCTCGGTAGAAAAACTTCTACTTTTTCTTTTTGCTGAGAGCATGCTTTTAGCCCCTTTTTTATGGTCTGTACCATTCTTTCTGCTAATCCGTTTGATTGAGGGTGATATGGAGGTGTCTTATATGGTTTACACCCTATTTTTTCTAACCATACGTTAAGTTCTTCCTCACAAAATTCTGGTGCATTATCAGATACCAAGGTTTTTGGTACACCATTTCTAGAAAATATGACTCTTAGAATCTGCTTTATAGTAGAACTTTTCTTGTTTGTAACCCGGATTATTTCAGGCCAACCTGAAAAGGAGTCTACTAGTATTAATAAGAGTCCCACTCCATTAATGTATGCATGATCCATATGCACACGACTCCATGGCTCCACTTCTTTGGGCCACGAATGTAATTTGGTTTGTGTAAAGTTTCTTAATTCTTTACATTTTTTACACCTTTTTACATATTCCTCAACGTCTCTTGAATATCCTGGCCACCAAGCTTCTAATTTTATCCTTTTTTTGTGTGGCCGCTACTCCACAGTGTATATCATCATGTACACTTTCTATTATCGGTTTTCTTTGTGTTTCTGGGGGAACTACCAGGTCCCCATTGCAAATCACTCCATGTTCTATTGTTAATTTGTGTCTTATTTCTTTATAGGGTCTTTCCGCCCTAGAACAATTTCCCCATGAGTTTTTTTCTTATTCTCGATACTATCCTACTTAGCACTGGATCATGTCTCGTTTCCTCAGCCATTCTATCTAAAGACAAAACATCAGTCTCTATCAAGTGTAGGAATGAATCTTCAAATTCTTCCTCTGTTTTATCTTTTGACTCCTTGTAGAACCTCAATCTTGATAGTGCGTCCACATGTGGAATTGAATTTCCTTTGACATACTCTATATCAAAGTCAAATGCCATCAATCTTATCGCCCATCGTAGAATCCTTGATGTCGTGACTTTGGGTAATTCTTTCCTTGGGTTAAATATAAACTCTAATGGTCTATGATCACTTCTTAATAGAAATTTTTTCCCAATTAAAAATTGTCGGGCTCTGGTAGTTGTCCACACGATAGCCAATGCTTCTTTCTCTATGTTCGAGTAATTAAATTCAGTGTTTGTTAATCTTCTCGACAAATACATTATCGGATGTCCTTCTTGTGATAATATTCCTGATATTGAATGTTCACTTGCATCTGTAGTGAGTGTTATGTCCTTTTTTGGATCAAAAATTTTCACTACAGGTTTCTTTGACATAATTTCTTTTAATCTGTCAAAAGCTTTTTGCTGTTCGTCTGACCACATAAATTCCACATTCTTTTTTCTTAATTTTGCAAATGGTTCGGTCAAGTCCGTGTATTTTGGTAAGTATCACCTGTAAAAATTTACCAATCCCAAAAAAGATTCCAATTCTTTTTTATTTGTAGGTGTAGCTACTTTTAGCATTTTTTCTATCAAGGCTTGGTCTGGTGATATACCTTCTTTTGAAATGGAATAACCTAAAAAAGATATTTTGTTAGAATTGCTTATGCATTTTTTTCATTTATTTGTCATTCCAGCATTTCTTAATCTATTCAAGACTAAGTCAGTTTTTTCTTTTAATTCCTTTTCATTAGTAGCTCCTATGCATATGTCGTCTTGGTAACAAATCATATTTTGTACATTTCCTAAAACCTGTTCAATGGCCCTTTGAAATATGGCGCTTGCAGTTTTTATTCCATATGGCATCCTTTTCCATCTTAGTAACCCTATTGGCGTATTTATCGTGGTTACTTCTTTGAAGTTTTCGTCTATTGGTATTTGGTGGTATGCCGTTTTTAAATCTATTTTTGAAAAAAACAGACATCCCTGCCAGTGCATGTAATGCAAGTTCAACATTGGGTATGGGATATGAATCCGAGCATATCTTGTGATTTACTCCTATTTTGTAATCTCCACAAATACGTAAATCACCATCTGTTTTCCTCAAAACTACAATCGGTGATGCCCACTTGCTACCTCCAGGTGGAACATGTTCAAGAAGGTCTTGTTCTACTAATTTACGTAGTTTTGTCACTACTAATGGCAATAAATGTACTGGTAATTTTTGTGCCTCATAATAAGAGGGGGAAACATTTTCTTTTACTTTTAAACTTGCTTCAGTTTTTTAACTTTCCAGTTTTTTCCATTTTTATTTCATTAATTAACTTAGTAGAACTTATATTAAGCACATCATTTCCAATAAGCCTGTGTTTTTTTTGCAACTTGTAACAACTATAGGTATTACTTCAAATTTTTCTTTTAACTCTAATGAACCTTCAAAGTATCCTAATGTTTTTATAACCAACCCATCAAATTGGCGGAGTTGTAAACTGCTTTTTTCGTAAAGGTGGCTTACCAATGTGTTCCCCAAAAATTTTTTGGTATCAGTGTTACTTCACTCCCAGTATCCATTTGCATATCTAAATTGCAGTTATTAATTTTGACCTTTACTATAATGTCTTTTTTTTCTTATGTTCAATTTTTTTTAAAGTCTTATTTTTTAATGTAAAAACTTCCCTATTGGTGTCATTTTCTTCAATTCTTTCAACATTTTTCTTTTTTTAATTTACACACTGTTTGAAAGTGGTTCTTTTTTTAAGCAATTATTACAAGTTTTTCCAAATGCTGGACACTTTTCCTTTTTTTCATTTCGTGTTCACGTCCACAATACGAACACTTTTTTTATCTTCTTTAACATGTACGTATCAGTGAATATTTGTTCGCTGGGTTGACTTTTTTATAATGGTTGTATTTCTGTATTAGTTCTTGTTGCTGCATAAAGTCAATACATGTATTTAAAGACATATTTCCTATTTGTAATTGTTCCATTATTTTATATCGGTGTGATGCATTGGACATACCTTCAATTAGTCTTAATTGAATCAAGTCCTCTTCAATAGTCTGTTTGTCTTGTCCAAGTTTTTCAAATTCACAATATCTACTTGCATTTTCGTAGACGGTGTAAATATTTTATAATTGGTTTGTCAATTTCTTGTTTCATTGACATGAATTTTGTTCTTTCTGCCACTACCAGCCTTTTCTTGGGTCTCATATTTCTTCTTATAATCTGACTTATTTTTTCGAAAGTCAGGTATTCCAAATTTAAGGGATATGCCAAGGTGGAGACTTTCATTACCGCCTTGCATCCAGCTGTAGCCAATAATAAATCCGTGATTTCATTTTCTCCTCCCTTTTCCTTGTTGTCTTTCAACTTTTTTGTTCTCGCAGTGGCAGAGAAACAACGAATCCATGTATCCACGAAATCTGAATCTTCCAGAGACAATTGATATCCTATCGGCGACGCCATTGTTGTGAAGTTGAAGTTAGCACTAATCAGCCACTAAGCTCGTACTTCTACCTCGTTATTCCCAGTGACCACTTATATGAGTGTTCACTTATGCTTATGCAAATTATGCATACTAATTTGCTAGTATCTATCCCAATGTACCTTCATATTTTAATGTCACATTTCCCTAAAATAAATCTTTCAAATTTATGATATAAGACTGAATATTACAAAACTATGTCTATATTTAATTACATGAAAAACACTTTGATGCTGGCAAGTAATTTAGATTTCTGTACATGACCTGAATGAACTCAATCAACCTCTATTACAATAATATTATCAAATTATAAGAATCAGAATTTCAGTAGTATAGGCAAGACATAATAAACCAGTTAAATTACTATTAATAATAATTTGCAAACACCGGATGATTTACCTTGTAGATCAAAGTAACTTTAATTTGTACTTTATTCTTTTGACAGGTTGCACTCAAGATAAAATAAAATGTTAACTGGCCTGTCAAATGTGATGCCATGCCTAGGTTAGTGTGTCAGGCATTATATTTCTTGGCATATCCATTCATAGCTTTGCGTTGGAGATTTGACATTTCCTAGAAATGGCAATCCTATTAGTAATAATGTTTACTATTCTGTTGAACTTTGGTTGAAGTTGTATACTTGCTCAATTGGTGAGGCTGACTGCTACATGGATCTAGATACAGTAGTACTCTCACAGAAGAGTAATATCAGTTAAGCAGAGGAAATTTATTGTACTTAATGATATGGAACTTTTGAAGAGTTAAACAAATGAGAAAGTAATCCAAGTAATAAGGGCAACAATAATGAAAATTTATTATTACTTCTTCTACAAACATTGAATTCACAATATACATAAATAAAACTTATCATTTACTGGAAATGAGAAAAAGGATATAAATATAATAATGTAATAAAATTAAAATAAACATTGAAAACGGTTTCAGTACAAAATATAAGATAAAAAATAAAAATTTAATTCCTTGAACACATATTCTCAGCATGGATATGTTCATAAAATAGTAGTTTTCAGCATGGAAAGTGAGATTAGCATGTCAAATTCAAATTCTAGTCAAGTCCATTGTATCCACTTTCACACAAATACCTTTAGAAAAAGTATAAATCCATCCTTACTTTGCCCCAATTTAAGGGGTAACAGCCAAGCAGATTGGGCTATCTAGCTTTGGTTGACAACCAGTCTAGGAAAAGGAGGACTCTGAATTCACAATTGGTTGTGTGTGATGCTCTATAGTTCACAAGGGAATCTGCAGGGTCAGCAATGTCAAGTGTGATGAACCTGTAGCCCTATAGTTCACATGGGAGTCTGTAATTGAGCAATGGTTAGCATGGTGAAAAGTCTACAGGGTCAACAACACCTAGCATGGTGAGGCTGTTGACCTATACTGCACAGTGGAGTCTACAAACTTAACATTTTCTCTGATGTTTTTACATATTGAGCAATTTTGATACAGCTACTGTCATACAAAACTAAGGCTTTGAACAAACACGCTTTACTACAGAGATATTTGCATTTGATTTTATGCAGGATACTGCTCCAGACAGTACTTGACCCCATCTGTCATGATCTATCTCTAAAATTAAAAGAGTTAGATCAGACCAAAAATGGGGTATTGTTTTGATATCTGGTTAGAGCTGCCTAATCCAGGTTTTTTTCCACTTTCAATCAATTTAAAGGATTTTACATTGCCTTTTAGGTGATGAATTATTTTCTACCCTATATAAAATAAGTTTTTGCAACAGATGCAACATTTCAAATGTTTCACTGTTGCTATTTCCATGGATAATGTTCTGACAATCTACATTCCTTGGTTCCCCCTGGTCAGATCTTTAGAGCTAAAACACGCCATACCATGAACACAGGAGTGAATCATCTTCATTCTCTTTGTATTCCATTGGTAAGAAGGAAGTTCCATTCAAACAGCTTCTTTCCAAAATCTAATGGGTTTGCAAAACAGGCTCCCAAGAGATTGCTTCCCTATACACTACAATGTTAGCTTCTTCAAGTCAACCATTATTTATCATACATAGCCTCATAATCTAGTCAATTCTTACATTCATAAAAAAACAACCCCATTTAGAAACCTTCTCCCTTGTATGGCTTTTGGGCCTTTTATTTGATGAACAAAATAAAAAAAAAAGATTTTATTTTATGTTATTATGACCATTCAATCTTCTTCCCCATTCACATTTCTTCTTGATTTTTTATGTGCCCTGTCCCTTCATAAAATAGGTGATCACATTTTTCCACAACTTCCTATTCTTTTAGCTGTGTTCTGCTATCCATTTACACAAGCTCATTAAGTAGTTACTTAGTGTTTCCTCTCTGCTCTTCTTGCCATCAATATCCTGTGAGTGTCAAATTCTCCAAACCCTCTTTCCTCATTATGTGTCTGAAGAATTTCAACTGTCTCTTTCTGATTCTAGTATGTGTCCCTTTTTTGTTTCCATTGAAAATAAAAAACTTCCTAATTAAGCACATATTCAGTTCATGGTATTCTCAGCAACCTTTGTAGAACCACCATTTTGTTCATCTGTGAAGAAACTGTACCACATCTAGTGCCATCTTAGATAATCAACATTCCATCGGAGTTCACCACTATTTTTTGTTGTTTTTAACAAAATCTTCCTGTTTTCTAATTCATTGCTTAGTTTTGGAAGGCATCTTTTGCTATTCCAATGCAACTTTGGTAATTTTGGTGTCACATTTTCCATTGTTAAATTTAGTAACTATCATAAATGCATAGACAAGCATCTATTGCATGAAGATTTTCTAGGATGGTAGTCAGATCCTTTCCACTATGCCAATTTTTTTTTCACTATATCAACTTAAATTTTTGGCTGATTCTCAATTGAATTTTGCTTTTATACTTACTGTAGACATGTCCTTAAATCTTTTATTTTTTTTGTTACAAATTCCATAAATACTGGTTGGTTTTCTGTCCAAGTCATCCAAGAATTGTTTTATATCATATGTTCCAGGGCCTAGTTTTTGTTTTCTGAAAGGAAAAAAAATGTTTTATATGAACTCATTTCTAAAAAATCAAATTTTTTTTTGCCTATATATTATCAAATGCTGCAATAAAAAGATACCAAATTGAACAGACACATATCAAGAAGTTGTTAAAAAATACCAATTTAATTTCTTAATAGGGTTTCTTAATTGCTGGAAAATTTTTATCAAGTGTCCAATAAGGATGTAGGATTCTTTGTATCTTATGGTTAAGGCTTCTAGTATTTGTAGTCATTTTTAATAGTTTATATGGTTTACTGTGAAATATATTTTGTATGTCTGTGCCTAAACTGAATTAAAATTTAATGCTGTTGTGTTATTTGCACTTTGCACATCAAATACAATTTACTGACATGATTAAATGCGTTCTTTCAATTTTTCTCACTAGCATAGACACTTATTTGGTATGACAAACTTATTTATTTTTTTAAATAATTTTTTCTATGGTATGATTGTTTTGTTCCATGTTTATTAAAAAAATTCTTGGTAGAATGTTCATTTGGTTTGGGACCTGGATTTTTTGTTTTTTTTTCTGACAATTTTCTATAAACTCTAGAGATGGTTGTGAGTGAAATCCTTTTCTGAAATATTTAGAGTTGCCAAATGCAAACTAAATGACCAATGACCATGCCACATTCAAAATCAAATAATCTTTCTTTCTCATACTAATGCATAAAATGAAAAGGAGTTATGGATTAGAAATTTACCTAATAGTGTATTTGTTCACATATATAAATTAAATTCAGTATGTCTATATCACACACTCAAACTTGTATACATATAGGGTATGATGGGTAAATATTTTTTTTCACGCTAAGCAAGGCGGGAAGCCACTAGGATGTAAGGGGTTACAGAAAACATAGAGCGAGATCAGATAGGAGTGATAGAAGAGGGTATGAGGAGAAGGGTAGTGGATAGATCAAGGCAACTGGAGATGTCGATTGACACTTGAATAGTTGGAGATTATAGCTCTCAGGGAAACTGGAATAGGGAAGGGAGTTCCACAGGCGAGAGGTGCGAGACATGAAGCTATTAGAGTAGAAGAGACGGCTACATTTAGGAGTTTCAACGGTGAAGGGGTGAGAGCGGGATGCCAGCCTCATAGAGCGCTTGAACTCATGAAGTCTGGGAACCAGTGAATGCAGCTCCTCAGAGCAATTACCATGAAAGTATTTGTTGAACAGACAGAGAAAGGCAACGGCATGTCTGTGAGAAAGTGACTGTAGACGAGATGCCAGAGCAGGGCCAATTATATTGCATATCCACCTCTGGAGCCTATCAAGAACCCCAAGGCAAACAGAAGAGGCTCCAGACCATATATGGCAGCAATACTCCATGCAAAGGCGAATTGTTGATTTGTAGATCTGGAGGATCGATTCCAGGGAGAAAAATTTCCTGGCGCGGCACAGGGAACCAACTTTCCTTGCGGTGGACGAAGCAATTGACTCATTGTATTTGTTCCATCTCAGGTCAGCAGTCAACGTGAGACCGAGCAGTCGCAGAGAGTTGCTCTTGAGAAGTTGTGCGTCAGACATTCTAATGGAGGGCAGGAAGGATCTCTGTGGTGATTAATAGAGAGCAGTTTTGTTTTTGAAGCGTTAAAGTTGACCAGCCACTTCCTGCCCCAGTTCACAACCGATTGGAGGTCCTTTTCGAGACGCATGGCCAGGTTAGTTTTGTCACTGACACTAGATTTGTTTTTGAGGCAGGAATAAACTGTGGTGTCATCCGCGTAGATGCCAACTTGGAAATTTATGGCGTCAGGAAGGTCATTTATGTAGATAAGGAATAGAGTGGGGCCTAGGATGGAGCCTTGAGGAACACCTGCGTTCGTGGGATAGGAACTAGAGGAGAATCCGTTGAGAACAACCTTCAATTCACGGTTTGACAGGAATGATTGTATTAGGTCAAACAATCGACCCGTAATGCCATAACCCTGGAGCTTGCGAAGATGGCCGGCAAGCCAAACCCTATCAAATGCTTTGGAGATGTCTAGTGCCACGGCACGAGTTTCCCCATTATTTTGAAGAGCTCGGTAGACAGTTTCAGTGATGGCCATAAGCACATCAGCTGTAGATTGGGCAAAGCGGAAGCCATATTGCTTGTCTGAGAGCAGATCATGGGATGTGAGGTGGTTAACCACCTAGGTATTGATTAGGCTTCAAGAAGAGGAGTGATGATTAGGGGTCGCCAGAGTTCTTGAAGATAGGAACAATCGAAGAGGACTTCCAGCAGTCAGGAAAACAAGACTTGAGGCAGTAGGTATAGTTTAGAAAGCCAAGCACATTTCTTCAAGACAAGGAATCCACCAAGCCTTTGTTGGTGTCTAAAGAAGATAACGCCCAATACCAGAGGGTTTAGAGCCTCAGTTCTAAGATGGGAAGAAATTGTTCGAGTTGAATGAAAAAAGCAAAGCATTCAGCCTTCTTGCAGATTGAAGAGGTATAGAGGGTTTAAACTTTAAACTTTGGAGCAAAATTTGCAAGATGCAATATGCTCCTTCATCCATTGTCACTATTTTATATTTTTAATTTTACACATGATCATTTTTTTAATTTGCTGACTGCACAATATAGTATGGTCATTTGGGCACCATCTGTGAGAAAAAGAGCAGCATGATGCAATTCACTCTGTCAGAATTTTGGAAATGGCATGCTGTACTGCTTGACATTCACAATAAAAGCTTCAATACAAACATTTCAGAGTGTTTGGGTGTCAATCTGTGGACAGTGCAGAAGATTCAGAAAGAGTTGGGTGAGTATAATGGTGATAACAAAGGTGTTTGGAGTGATCACTACTGATGGTAACTTTATGCCTCCATTCATCTTCTCACAGGGCCTCAGATTCAACAGAAAGGCCTACATCAAGTGCCTTGAGGAGGTAGTGCTGCCCTGGGTTAAGAGGTTGTCTGCTGGAAGACCTTATGTCTAGCAACAGGATTCTGCAAACAAGCAGCAGAATCCAGTCATGGCTGTCAAACAATTTCTGCGACCACATCACCCCTTACATCTGACCACCTAACTCACCAAACTGCAACCCCATTAATTATTATGTGTGAGGCGCAGTTGAGTGAGAGCAACAAAACTCCTTGTAACACCAAAGATGAACTGAAGGCCAGGATTATGACTATCCAGAAGAGTCGTAGGAGATTTCAAAGTCATCTGGAGGCCGTGGTTGATGCCAATGGTGATTTTATTGAATAAATTTACTCTTTAGTATTTCAAGACATTTTTGTGTAATTTTGGTAAATATATCTGTTAAAATGAGTTGTCAGTATTATTTTCATTTTTGCATAATTTAATGTCTAGAAAGTGCCTTGATTGCAAGGTCATCTACAGTAAATTTGTACCTGGGCTCTTACAAGATTTCATCATACCTAGCAGAACTTCTATTATCAGAGTGTGGGATACCTAACAAAAAAAAAAAACAAAATTAAAAATTGCCAGCATCCCTGGTTCAGGTGCATGTGTAGTCACGCTAACATAAACAAATTTAATCTGATGAAGTCATAAAGGATAAAATGTATCACAAGAAAAATATTTCTACGATGTCATAAATTTTCCTCAATATTGTTCTCAATATATAAAAATATATATCATTATCTCATATATATATATATACATACATGGAATACACTGAATATATATATATATATATATATATATATATATATATAGATAGATAGATAGATAGATAGATATAGATATACAAGTTTGATTAAAAGAACTGACAAAGTCTGTTTAATTTTTTTATAGTATTTTTCCAATTTTTAAAGAAGGTGTTGTGTATTGATTTCAAAATTATGGGTAAACTGTCTAAAGTTCATGTTTGTCTTATTGTTTGTTCAAGTACCTTCAATCATTTCACTTATTGTGGTGTCTGTGGTAGGCAGTACTACTTTCCTGGTATTCTTTAGAAAGCTGAAACTTGAAATGGTCTATGGTGACAACTTGTGTATGAGTTTATTTATATATATATATATATATATATATATATATATATAGACAAAAATTTCCTATCCCAGCACACTTCATCCAACTCTTTCATAGCATTGATGACATCAGATGCATGCTTTTAGCATCTTCATTTAACAGCCAACAAGAATGATGCAGATTGGAGTTGAAATATATTTTCAAAATAAAATTACACATTGAGGGATTAAACAGGGATTTGGGTTTACTCAGAGAATATTATTTCCACAGGTTGCCCTTTAATCAACAGCAACAACATTCCTCAGAAGAGTAAAATAAGCCCCACTTCTTTGTTTATTCCTTGTATCATTGAAAAAAGAACTTTAAAATCTTTCTCATTATGCTTCAATTTAGTCAAAAGGTAATATAATAAATATCATCATTTTTATTGCCAATATTATCATTTTGTTGGGTTTTTATCCCTCAAATTCTATTAACAAACCTATTAAGTTTCTCTCTCTCTCACCCTCTCTCTCTCTCTATATATATATATATCCTTTCACCTGATTTTCTTTCATTTTTCTCTAGTCTTCTTAATGCTTACTTTTCCTATTTTACACATTTTTCTATAATTTTTATAGTCAGAAAGCACAGAAGGGCCAAAGATTAAACTTAGACAGATACTTCATTTTGATCTGACATCAAGGGGTGAAATAGCAGTACATACAAACAAATACAATAAGAATAATACAATAAAAACTGATTGAGAAATAAAACATGTCACAAGGATTGTATTGCTCACCTGCAACTGTTTTTCTTCCCATTCTTTTCGAAATAACATATGAGGAATTTTAGCTTGTTGCTCTGTTAACAAAGCTCTCTCCCATCCTGGTCCTGAACATTTTTCATTGAAGGCTCTTTCTCCAAAACTGCTCAGGTCAATCAAATATGATCCTGGACCCCTTCGGTTCTGAAAAATAAAATGCAAATACATTCACAGAGTTAAATAGAAATGTCTGCTCAGGACACACAAGAAAATCTCAGTTAATTTTGAAAATTCTCTTATGATGACATTTTGCAGATTGGCGAATGTATTTTGTGTATCAGAATGTTAGGTTATTAGAAGGCTTAGAAATGTAGGTGTTCACAAGACATTCATCCATAACAAATATAAAAATATCGAAAGGTAAAATCATTCTGGAGAAATCAAAAATGAGGACAACATGATTAAAGGTTTAACAAATAACATTCATTTTATATCAACTGAACATACACAATCAAGATAGATATTGCTGATCAAGTGCGACCAGTTGTAATAAAATATGTAGAAGGATTATGTTTTGTTAAAGTTACTGTTCAAAGTTTGTAAGAGTTGTGTACCTTTAGCTGTTGTCTTGATGTTGCATTGAGATTTACAAATACTGTTTAGTAGTGGGTCAATTCACTTTCTTTAGTATGTTGTAAGTAATGTTCCTGAGAGAGCGAAGTGCTGTTTGTCAAGTCAGAAGAATTAGCATGCGAAAAGTGTAGTTAGGTCAAAGTTTTGGCTAGCATCTCTTCAGGGTTGAAGTTCTGACTGTTTGAATTGAATCAAAACACTTCTATTTATTGAGTTTGTGGTCTCAGAATCAGCTCCAAAAGCAGTACATGAGAAAAGGTATTTTTGCTCAAACTTGCTACAGTTTTAAGGTCTCAGCCAATGAAAAACCTAGTTTGCTGAAACTAAGATGCTGATTGGTTAAGAGGTGATTATGCATGAAAAATGCATTATCCCGGAAGGGTGACAGGTAAGTATGGAATATTCCATCAACATGATACTTACACCTATCCTTTTTTTTTATTAATAATATATATATATATATATAATTTCTTATTCAAAATTTGGAGACATGATATAACTACGAATTATCTTCATGGTCTTTATCACAAGTATTCAGCAGCTATTGTCTCTGGCTTTTTTTCTTGATTACTTTCTCAGTTAAGGTGTTCTTTCAATGGGCTTTTACTCTTCGGCAATGTTTATTGTTTAGAAAAGAATAATAATATAATAGAATTTTAATAAAATATAAATATATGATAGCAAATACATTTTCTTTGTTCTTGAGAATTGACAACAAAATTATAAAGACTATTTATTTGTAGCTAAAATAATAGTAGGGTCAATGGAAAAAATCAGTCCTTTTGCATGAAGGTGCAAAATTGCCATACAATGGTTCTAATGTAATTACAAACAACAAAAGTTTTATATTTCAAAATACAAATTGTTAAAGTCAGTGGTAAATGTTCTTTGAAGGATATATGTATATGTAAACAAAATCATATCCAGTTAATGAGACGAGTTACAAGAATTAAGTTTAAGATAATATAAAATTTGTGAAAAGTATTTTAAGTGTCCTTTGATGTGAGAACTTTTGGGTTGATGTGTGAGGAGGTAAGAGAGGTAAGAGGGTGCAGGGGAGAGAAAGGTAAGAGGATGTAGTGGGAGAGAGATGTAAGAGGGTGTAGGGGTGAGAGAGGTAAGCGGTCGGTCACTGGAGTTGAGATTCATTTGATGTGGTCTGTCCTCTTTGGAGTTTGTTTTCCCATTTGAGTTTTGATTGAAAAAGAGGTCTCTTTATACAAGAGATCAGAAGGGCTCAGTGGAAATCATTTATTATTTGGGTGCAAATGCTTTTTGACTGGCTAAAACTTTTTATTTATTAGAATATTTTATTTATCCATTTTTAACCGGAACAAATGCGTGGGGCTCCATGCGCACAAACCAGTTTATGACATTCTCTCTTTGAACGTCTTAGGGTTTAACACTCGGTTCTCTGTGTTTATTTAGTATCACTACAATTCTTTTTTTTTTTTTAACTAATTTCTCAGACTTGTTATTTTATCGCAGTGTTTGAGCTGCTATACTCTGTGTATACAAAGATTGATTCCTGTTACTTTTTAAATGTTTTTCATTTTGTGTTCTTTTATTTCAGACTTGTAGATCATGATCAAGAACTGAATTTTCACTCTTTTTTTCAACTCTGACCTCTTGTTTAGTTTATGAAAGGGGTAGGCATAGGTTACTTTGAGTCTCAGCAAGTGTAGAGTCACAATCTAAAAAAAATGTAAAAAAACAAAACATCAAATAAAAATCTTTTCAAAATTGAAATAATGTAGGTAAAAAGAGTTCTTTTAGTTGTTTTTGAAAGACGTTTTCAATGACTAAACAAGTTTTATCATTTATGTCAGATTAGTGCCCTACATTCATGTGCAAAGAAGGGATATGCAAATCAACTGACATTGTTTTGTTGATATAAAAATGTTAAAGAACAAATACTAGCGATCAGAGATAAAGATATTCAACCCAACAACTGAAGGCATTCTTGCATAAAATTAAAAGATTTGAAAATCGCTTTTTGCCTCCAGTGAAGAAAAAATCATATACAATGATCATCAAAATTATTGATGTATTTCAATAAAAAGTAGTTTTTGTGGGTATAATTAAATTTTAAAATGGTAAATAAAAAAGGAAAACCAATATTTTGATGAAATTACTACAAATACATTGAAGGTGAGGGTAAGACAAAGGAATTCTCAGAATCTCCAAGAATGGGTCTATTTGCTAAAAGTAGTGGAAAAAAATAAATGAAGATGAGTGTAACAACTTGGATTGTTACTTAGTAATGTATCAGTATGTCAGTTTCAAGAACTTCCAGCAAATTGGTGCTTTCAAAAATATTTTAAAAAATCAAAACATTTCTATTATATTGGTGATGCTTTATTAATATATCTCTGAAAAATAATAATAACTGATGTTGTAAATAAAGTAAGCAACATTGAACATACAATTACATTTATTTATAAAACAGAATCAAATAGATCATTACTGTTTCTTGATATCATGTTATACCACACTGATAAACATCTAGGGAAAATCTACTTACAAAAATGATTTCATAAACTTCTACCCATACCACAACAATAAAATTTGGTATAATGAAAGAGCACTTAGAATTTTTAGCCCTCAGTATTTACATGATGAAGAAAAATACATTGAAAATACTTTTATATTTCACTAATATCCTGATTATTTCATATATAATGCAAAGAGGAAAGCTTACAACATCCACAAAACAAAGAAGAAAATGATAAAACTAGGCACATAATACTATCTACAAACTCAATGATGACTACAATTGAAAAGAATTTAATATAAAATTAAAATAAAATTTATTACAACTATTAAAGAAATAAGACACTATTGTTATAAAATAAAAAAGACATATCTCGGCTGATTTACAGGCAAATATTTAAGAGCGAGAACCGGATGTGAACGGGACAAAGCCCCATCACAAAATGACCATTATCTTTCTTTACAAATGTTTCCGACACACATGTTCCGGTCGAAAAATAAAATAATATTTAAAGTGCTCTATTTTTCGTCCAATAAAAATGCTTCCCTCCTAATTATACTCGCTTCATTTCTCGAGCCTGTTAAGCCATAAAAATCGCTATAAAAGGATCTGATCTCAAAATGACCTACAATCTGTTGTTAACTGGAACAAGGAATGACTTGTTAACTTTAACACCTCCAAAACAAAATTTCTCTCTATTAATCATCTGAGAGACCTCATTTGGTCTCCCATCAGCATGGCTGATGCTTACGTCCAGGAGAGTGGTTCATTGCACCTTCTTGGGCACCTTCTTGGGCACCTTCTTGGGCACCTTCTTGGGCACCTTCTTGGGCACCTTCTTGGGCACCTTCTTGGGCACCTTCTTGGGCACCTTCTTGGGCACCTTCTTGGGCACCTTCTTGGGCACCTTCTTGGGCACCTTCTTGGGCACCTTCTTGGGCACCTTCTTGGGCACCTTCTTGGGCACCTTCTTGGGCACCTTCTTGGGCACCTTCTTGGGCACCTTCTTGGCTTGATAATTTTTCTCCAATTCTACATGTTATATATTTATAAGTTTACCATTTATCCATACTTTGTATATTGCTGGCACATAGGGTCATGTGCTCCTTTCATAAAATCCAAAGAAGAATAATATTATTGGTCCCAACCTAGCATCTTGACTTCAGTCACTTTCTTACTGCCATAATGTAGCTTGTGGAACTCTCTTCTGGTATCTTGCTTCCCAGTCAACTTTGATCTTCAAAAATTTAAATGCAATATCAATCATTATCTTCTGTCTTCTTAATTCTTGTTCTTTTTTGTTCTCTCACCTTAATATTTTCTTTTTCTTATATTCTCTAACACTCAGTAACCCCCATTTCATCTTAGTGGCTTTATTGCCTTGCTTGGGGTGAAATGATTAAAAAAAACTTGTAATAAACCAGGCTATAAAATTCCTTGAAACACCTATGATTTTATTTTCAGTCCATATCTTACTAAATCCAAGATGGCCATCTTGATTAGGGCCAACATTTTTCTTGATTCAGCATTTTCTCTCATGCTTTTTACTTTAGTGGTAAAGCTCGGAATTGGCACCTTTTGTATTATATTTTTTTTTTGTTTTGAGGAGATTTGTTTTGTATGTCAGATGTGATACCCAGAGCAGCCCTCCCAAAGAGATTGACAATTTTAAAAGGAAACAAAAGAAAAAGAAAATGCCAACAACCTTAATTTTCCTGCTTATAGATTATAACAATTTGATTGACCTCAAAAGATAAACGAGAATCTTTCTTTTGGATAAGATGATTCATTTTACTTATAATTCATTATTTCAGAAATAACTTGATTTATAAAAACTAATGTATTAACTTATAACAAGAGAAACAGAAATCAGAAGATAAATTTGGCATAAGTAGAGGAAAGAGAGCTTGGAAAATTTGATACTCAGAAGATAGATAACCTACCTGGTGAGCTTGAGTGAGTGGATGGCAGTGCAGGGTTTGGGAGAGATAGACAAAAGACAAAATTTATTAAGAGCTGCAAGGGACAGAAAGTTGTGGAGAGCCATGATCACCAATGTCCTGAAGGAACAGAGGAGAAGAATAATCCTTTCCCTCTCTCTTCCACACACACACACACACAGAGGCACACATGCAGGCGCGCAGACAGGTACATGCACACATGTACACAGATGCAGACATACTAACACTATCTTTTTTCAAAAGATATTATTTGAATTAATTCTCAAAAGAAAGAAATATTTATGTGAATATATTTAAAAATAAATATGACAACAGTCCTCAAATCTGTAAAACATCTTCTGGGGAGGGGGTGGTTCAATAAGTCAAAAGATGATTGAAAACTTGTATAAGCAAGAAATATACTTTTATTGTAGAAAGATTAAGATAACCCATTAAGACTGAAAGGTTGAAACTAAAAATAATGTTTGTTTTTTCATTAGATAAAAAGTCATTAAGATCCAAGGGAGTAAAATAGGTCATTAGGATATGTCATTTGAGATAAATAAGTCACTTGAATTGAAACAGATTAGCTAAACTGAATATTATTCCTGAAATTACTTACTTTGATTAATTTGTATATTAACCCATTAATGCCTATATTCTCAAAAATATGACAGTGGACATCAATGGGTTTTAAGATTGAAAGCTATAATTAATAACATATATTTATAAACCCATAATTCATACTGGATTTTTTTGACAAATCTATAATTAATAATGGATTTTTACTTCAGATTTTATAATCAATAGCAGATTTTACACTTGGGTGTATGGAGACAACAGTTGTTTTTGCTTGTGTGAGCAAATGGGAGTTTAGCTTCTTTAGAGAGAACTCTTCTTCCTGTTTTTCCCTTGCTTCTGTTTGAGAAATGGTTAATACCTTCCTAACCAGCAGGGTGTCCACACACGTGGAAAATGGACAACATGTGCACAGCCTAACGTGGAGAAAAAAAAGTAATTTTGATTCACCTAGCTACAGACGGTCAAAGGCCATAAGATTGGTATGTTATTTCTTTGTTTGTTGTTCTGTTAAACATTCTCGTCCTTTGGACAGTATGAACAATCATTTGTTTTGGGACATGTTTAAATCTTTCTAATATGTGTATGTAAGTTGTATTTGCCTTGTTAAATGTTTTGTTTATTACAGGTGTGAATTTCATCTTTTTATATTCACATTCAGTGTTAGTGTATCAACAGCTACACTAATGTTCATATTAGTACTCGGTGCACAGGAAATCATTATTCTCCCTAGCACTAAATAGCCGGTAAACAATGGCTAGTTTATAAATAATACTAATATGAGCATTAAGGGTTGAGGTATTTCCCAAATAGGAAATTAGTAATCTTATTATAACATTTATAAGATTCTCTGTTGCATACACGAAAATAAATTTTGATACAACTCAGGACAAAGAGAATAAATCTTCTTATAACTGTTAGGAGAATGAATATATGGCATAATAACAGAATGGTAAAAGAATGAATATATCGTAGAATAACAGAATGGTAGAATGGTAAAAGAATGAATATATGGCAGAATAAAAGAATCGTAGAATGGTAAAAGAATGAATATATGGTAGAATTGTAGACTAACAAAATGGTAGAATAGTAAGAGATAAATATATGGTAGAAGAGTAGAAGAACACAATGGTAGAATGGTAAAAAATGAATATATGATAGAATGGTAGATTAATATAATGGTAGAATAATAAGAGAATGAATAGATGGTAAAATGAATAAAAGGTAGCATTTTTCTTTTTCAATTTTTTATTTTATTTTATTTTTTGTTTTTAAGCCAACTGAAAGTTTATTCATATTTTGGTTTTGACATCTCCTTAGCAGTAAAATGGCTACACAAGATTCAATAAATGCCATCATTGTAGATTAACTGTTCACTCACTGACAGTATAATGGGCTTTCCATCATGTAATACAACACATTTAATAAAATGAGTGACTTATTAAAGAAATAAGACCAAAATATTTAGCTCTATTGTTTTCAGAACAACAACCACATTTACTGAATTGAATCTATGACAATTATTTGAGGATAAAGTAGTTTATTTATAAAGCAGTTTATATTTTTTTTTCTACCAGTCTGTGCACTTGAGAATACTTAATCAATTTTCTTTAAATTTTCTTATGTGTGCAAACCAATAGATGAAATAAACATGGTTTAAAAAATGGAGCATCTACTCAAATACAGGTATCCATTAAAAATAACATTTGAAATCATAAAAATATAAAGGGATTTAAATCTTTTGGAAAGCATTAGGATAATCTCTTTTAATTTAGCCAATATAGAGTGTATTAAACCAGAGTGTTGTGATAAAAAGCAATAAGAAGATAACATAGAACTAATAATAATAATGAAGAGCTATATTGTATTAGAAAGCTATTATTCTAGTGTATACCAGAAAGAGAGTCTGGTATACACAACCACAGCCAAAATTTAATAACAACAAGCAGTGGAGACATTAAACACAAACTCTGTTTGATATGCCGACATCAATAACTTGTGTCTATTCTTTGCTCAAGATTAGAGAAACACAATTTTTTTATCAGTGCTACATATCTTCATGAGGTCTTGAACAAAGGGCAATTCATAATCTTTTACTAAGTGGAAAGATAAGATTAGTATCCTGTCGATGTAGTAGCATCTAAGGCAGAAATATTTTAGTAAAAGACAGTTCAAATGATGAATCATATTTACTGTGATTTAATGTGTATGGATGGCTTAATGGTTAACAGACCAGAAAATGAAATCAATGAGCTAAGTTCAAATTCAAATTAAGTTTATTTGTATTCACTTCACATTAATATGTTTAATAATGGTATAAATATAACTCTTCTTTCTCTAGCTATGGGTAAAATAACAGGGAAAACTGGACTCTCTAGCATTATTGGAAACTAGTCTAGAAGAAGTAAAACACTGTAATCCAAACTGTGGAGAAGGCAACAGGAAACCAATCCACTTCCTTTCCCAAGAAGGTATTGCAATTCACAGATAATAAAGAAAAGGAATCTGGAATGTTATGGTTGTCTATATTCTGAAGAAATGTGGCAAATACCATTTTTTAAAAAAAAAATTAAAAAAATATTGTTCAGGAAGCAGGTATGGTTAAGCAGAATTGACAAAATTCTCAAAAATAATAAGAAAAACAAAGAAGAACAGGGCAAAATAATACAAGAGAAGACAATGTAATGCAGGGTAAAGCAAAGCAATTATAAGACAGTAACAATGTTCACAAAATAGAAATAGTGTTCATACACAAAAGTCAAGTGGTTACAGCCTTCTGATGACAAGTCAAGAAAGAAGAAATGTGTAAGTAAGACTGAAAATTGTCCATTTTTATTGGTAAGTAAGAAATCACAGCATGCATATGTAGGATTTGTCTATAAATTTACGGAAGTGGGAATTTCTAGCAGTCATTTCCTGAGATTGAAACAAACAAATAGAAAGCATAAAAATTTTTGTTGTTAGTCTGATGATTTATAAGATGAAAAGTTTTTGAGCAAATTTTGGATTTCATGCTTTTTCAAATGTCATTTGCACAAAATAACATGACTGATCAAATCAACATATGAAGAGCTATTGATACAGCCAATGAAAAAGATGATAACAAAATCATCAGTATATGGAAAATTTGTAAAGATTGATCTGATGTTTTACAAAGAAAATTCCATTGCAGCAAGAAAAGAAACTTCAAAAGGCATATTTGTATTTTTTTCAATATTCAATTCATACCCAAATATTTGGTTTTGTTTTGTTAATATGTTAATGCTTATTTGCATCATCTTCAGAATTTACGCCATATATTTCAACTTAATAAATACCAGTCTGATCAGAAGAGAAAAGGATTTACTAAGAAGAAAATGTATTGAGAGTGCGCTGATCTCACAATCCTATGCAAGAAACCTAAGACCAGGACCATACATAATATCACTGATCATTGCAAAAGTAATAGCAGCACAATGTGGTATACAAGCTAGTAGAGAAAAAAACAGAGATCTACTCAGAGTAGGCTGATTTAAAATCCAACAGACACCAATGGTTCTAACACACACGCACACACACACACACACACATATATATATATATATATATAATACAACAATTTTCTGGTTTCAGATTGTTGAATCTGATAAGGTAATTTAAGCTGGCGATGAAAAATTTTCCTTTTGTTTTAATTCATTTATATATCTATGTGTGTGTGCATGTGTCTCACTTTGATTAGCAAGGTATCCTTATTACTACTGCAGTGAGCTCAATTATTAATGAGTGATTGCACTAAGCTTCACAGAGTAATGGTTAACAAGCCAACCTCACAGATCATTCATAATGCAGAGAGTTTAATATTCAATAGGTATCCAACAATTATGACCTTAAACCATACAAAGATAAAAAATATTAACATAGATGCTTCACTGAGCAAGCTGAAATCATACAGCATTACTACTGTAGTGAGAGTAATCCTCACTGAGAGGCCAATACTTATGACCTTGTGTCAGACTATGTTATATTTTGTAAATATAAATAATTATGTTTTTAGAAAAATAAGGAATTTTTTTATTATTACCAATGACAATTAAAGAATATTTTCCTTGCAGAATGAATTCTTCACTTACTGATTCATTTGAAACTTTGGTACTGTAAGGAAATTCTGTGTAAGTTCCAGGAATCTTCAGCTTTGGATGGATACCAGTGACATCGAATCTGAGAAAAATAAAATTTGATAAAGAAATCAACAAAGAAAGCTTTGTGCTGTACTAAGCTAAACTATTGTTGCAGACATTGTTACACTTATACACAATGTGGGTTCACTTCTAATAATGGGCCACAACAAAGGAAACATTAAATTAAAATAACATGAAATATCAAATATATATCTCTAATAATTAGAGATATTTATTCAAATGGTACATACATGTCCATTGACATTTCCACATTGATTTTGGTCAGAAAGCAGCTTGGTACATTTTCACTGCTCAAGGGTCAGCTGTCAAAAGAGAGAGTTTCTAAATTTTTCGCCAATGTGAAAAGGAGGCAGTGCTGTCATTGTCTTGTCTATTGACTTATCAGAAAACTCATTACATGCTGATTACAACAATGCTGTGAAAGAGACCTCTGGATTGACAATTTCTTTTATTTTCTTAAAGGAGCCATTACACTATCAATAAATCAACAAAGCAATCCAGCTGTTTGTGTATCTGATAGAATATAGCCTTGTGGATGAAAAATACTCTTTCTTTTCCATAACAGTTGCAATTTCACTCCTAGACTAGGCAGTGAAAGAGTATACCAACTTCATAAAGGGGCAGAGTAACAATATAAAAAAGAAATGAACAGTTAGAGATAGAGAAATTCCTGGAAAGGACATTAATCTTGATGAGAAAATTATTGAATATGACAGAGAGCAGAATAAGGCCAAAGAGTACAGCAGTTGAAATAATGGAGGTCCAGGAAATGGAGAAGTATCTTAGTCCTCTCCAAGGTTCATTATAGACATTAGTATATTTGTGATATACTAACACCTTAATGAATTAAGAACTAGAATAACACCAAAAAATGAATTTCAAAAATGAGTTATACCTGAAAATATTTTATATACAACATTGGAGTATACAAATATGTCATACAAAAATGCAATAAATAAATATACATATTTGTCATCTTTGTCCTAAACAGAGAAGTTCAAACACATGAAAAAAATCAAGCAATATTTGAAGAGACAAATGAAAAGATATAACATAACATAACCAAGAGAGGGACACAGTATGATCCTGGTGACATGTATTATGTTTCTTATTTGAGATGCATTGTATTCACTTGTTCACTGAACTGCTACTAGCTACCAAATCTGTCTCACTTGAGGTCTAAGCAGCAATTGACTGTTTTCACCAACAGAGTGTCATTTAATGGGAAGAGACAATTGAACACTGCCAACTGAACACTGTTGACTGAGTGCTAGGACAACTCAGGACTGAGATACCTCAGCACCAGAAAAGCATAACTTATTTTATAACTGAATAAAAGTAATTTATTAAGGATTAAAACCATAATTAATGAATATTTTTCTTCAAATAAGGATTTTTATAAAATATGAAGCAGTTTTTTGTTTTTAATTATTCTTAATAAGGTAAATTGAAATATAATTTATTTTTTCAAAAAGTAAAATTGAAATTCTAAAATATTTTTATAAAAAATATTGTAACATTTAATGTTGTGAATTACTGAAATTATTTGGCTGACAACTATTATCAAATAAAACAAATTTAAACAATTTTTGTATAATCAAATTTAATTCATATTTTAGAAAGAATGTGACTTATAAACCAACTATTTGAACTAAATTATTTTGTTTTGCATTTTTGTGTTTTATTAAATTATTTTTTATTAAAATATTTTAGTATGTCAGTATACTTTTTTAAAATATAAATTACATTACGATTTATCTTATTAAAAATAATTAAAAAACAAAGTTTTGTTTTGCATTCTTCAATTTACTTTATTAAAAAATAATTAAAAACAAGTGTGTTTCATTGAATTATTTTTTATATGTCAGTTTACTTTATTAAAAAATAAATTTCTTTATGATTTACTTTATTAAAAAATAATTAAAAACAAAAAACTAGTTCATATTTTATATAATGCCTTTTCAAATGCCTTATTAGAAGAAAATATATTCACTAATTAAAGTTTTAATCCTTAGTAAATTACTTTTATTTGGTTATAAAAAGTTATGTTTTTCTGGTGCTGAGTTGTCTCGGTCCTGAGTTGTCCCAGCGCTCAGTTGACAGTGTTCACTTGGCAGTGTTGAGTTGTCCTGCACTCGTCATGTAACACTTAAGGGCCCCTTAAGACATCAGTAAATTCATCCTTTAAAGGGGTATAAAATTGCTTTCTTCATCTCTATATTGTCATAACAAAGATGATAGAATAATTATGCAATAAGGGAACATTGACTCAGAACACTTATCTTAATATAAAAATATAAATTCAAGTTAATTATTAGCAGTTACATTTGATTTTCATTTAATTATTAATAAAATACTAAAGATAAAATTTTTAATATTTGTGAACAAAAAGGAAAAATGTTTTTTTTTCTCTATGATCTAAATTGTTGAGGTGCCATGTTGGGTTTTTCATGTCATCATGAAGGTCCTGTTTTGCTGGTTTTGTTCAAGTACTTTTGACTGTCTGTTATTATCAAGAACTGGATGTTTTCAGTATATTAGACAGAATTTTCTTTAAAAAATACAAAGATAGAGCCAATAAAATCATGTCTACTGACAACACACAATTCTTGATAATGACTGAAGCAGTTAAAATTACTTGAATAAAAACAAACAAAACATGAACTTTAGAGAGTTTATCCACAATTCTGATTTGAATATACAATATTTTATTCAAAAACTGGAAAAATACAATAAAAAATTAAACAAACAGACCTTGTAAGTTGAATTTTACAAAAATTAAATTTGAATATAACAAAACTTGTTTAAGTTGATGCTTTTGTAACATCTCAGGAATAATAGGAGAAACCCCAATCTTCATCTTGCTTCACACCTGCCTGTTCAACTGCTATAGCCCACAGGAACCACATTTACTAGTTGTACCAACATGATAGGTCTGATCACAACAGATGCCTCTTTGTACTTGCTTGTAATAATTGTAAATGTGTCTTCAATGAGACACAAAAGTCTCTGTTCACTGACAGAATAAGTTTGCGTTTAACCTCTAACAAGTTTGGTTCTTGTGACTACTGGCATCTCTGTACTAGTGTATTAAATAAGGGTAAGTCTGCTCTCTTTACACAATTTGAGGTGTTATCATCTTTTGCTGATAAAGCAGAATACTTTACTAGTAAATTCTCTTCCAATTCTACTTTTAACTCAGCTGTTATATCTTTGTCTAACTTCCCAATTAGAACTGAGTCTCTACTGTATGATATTGTTATGATGTTGATTGGGGTTAATAAAGACAAACGCCAAATAACACGTAACAAATAAAAGGGGTTTATTCGGTTGGTAAGTAGGTACAGAAATCGCCTGAGTAGTCTATAACTAACTCAGCCAAGAACTTCTCCGACTCTGTCTGTCTTTTGACATGCCACTATTTAACGTCTTTTTTTGTAGACAAGTTCATCTTCAAGAGGGGTGGTAGGTTTCCTACACAACAGATATGCTAATTATTATGTCCATGGTTTTTGCTATCATATCTCAACTGGATCCCCACAAAGCATGTGGACTTGATGGTATCCCTACAATAGTCCTCTTCTGTAGTTCCTGTTTTTAAGAACACAGATGAACCATCTGGTCCTTCTAGCTATTGACCTATTAGTCTTCTACTTTTTTTTGGCAAAGTACCTGAGGCTCTAATCAACTCCAAATTAGTTATGCATCTCACCTCACAGTGTTTTCTTTCTGACAAACAATATGGTTTTTGTTTGTCTAGGTCAACTACTAATGTGTTAACAGTTATTGCTGAAAGTGTCTATCAAGATTTAAATAAGAATGGTGAAGCTTTGAAAGAATTTGGCATGCTGTTCTTTTTCACAAATTGAAAGGTTATGGTATTTTTGAACAAATTTTTGATTTGATTCAGTCTTTCTTATCAAATCACAGAATGAAAGTTGTCTTGAATGGCTACTCTTCTAGATTTTCTTACATTAATATGGATGTCATTCAGAGCTCTGTCTTTGGACCTAATTTGTTCCTAATTTTCATCAATGACATTCCTGATGTCATCAGTTCTTGACTCAGTATTTATGCTGATGACACAACTATTTACTCCCATCTTAATGTCAAGTCTGAATCAATTACTAGGTCTGCTGCATCGTAAGTTGATTCACCATATTATGTTAAACAATATTTTGCACAAGAATCTATCTTACATCTTTATAAGCCTGTCATTTGTCCATGCATTGAATATTACTGCTGCAGCTGGTTTAGTGCTTCTGCTATGTATTTAGAGATTCTTGATAAAATACATAGAAGAATCTGCACTGTTACTGGTCATGATCTTGCATCTCGGCTTCAGTCATTTTCCCCACCATTGTAATGTAGTTTCCTTGTGCCTTTTCTAAAAATATTTTCATTGTAATTGTTCTAATGAGCTTTCCTCTTTGGTACATTGACTTTATGAATTTAATGCAGTACTAGATTGGCTGCAAGGTCTCATCATTTTACAGCTGAAATAGATGTAACTAAGTTTTATTCTAATAGTTCCTTCTCTTGCACTTCTCACTTGTGGAACTCTCTTCCAGCTTCTTGCTTTCCAATCAAATTTGATCTTCAAAAATTTAAATAAAATCTCAATCATTATCTTTTGTTTTAATGGCTATTCTTTCATTGTTCTCTTTCCTTAATAATGTTTTTTTTTCTCATATTCTCTCACACTCAGTAACCCCTTGCATCTTAGTGGCTTTGTTATGTTGCTTGGGTTGAAATGATTAAGAAAAATATTTCTTGTCAGAAATGAGAGAGAGAGAGAGAGAGAGAGAGTGTGTGTGTGACTGTATGAACATGTATGAACATGAATCTACATGTTTGTGTGTGCATTAGTGTGTGTGCGCATGATTGTAGATGATGCTGTATGCAAGTGCTTCACCTTGCCACCAACTTTCTCAGACTTTGTTTTCTAGTGCCTATACTGCTCAAAATGCTATCAGCTGACACCATACTCAAAAGTTAACCTACAAAAGTACAAAGCTG